TTTCCACCGCTCAACGAATCTTGCAGCAATAAAAGAGCTCTTGCGCTTGAACCCCTCATCCCCCCTCTCCCGATCTCATTTCTCACTGACTTACACCACCACCACCACCACCAATTTTGACGACTGAAGCAGACCTCGACTCACCCACGCATTCGCGACTCGTAGACTTCATGTCGGAATGGGTTCCAAGACACCCGAAGATCAGATTCCCGGAGGCAATGGTAATTTATCCAAAGACTGTTTTTTTTTCTTTCCGGTCTTCATTTAACTACCGGTGATTGCTAATTGATGTCGTTCAGGCGGGTCCACTTCGTCCGGCATTTCCTCGGGCGGAGAGCCGCGCGGCGTGCACCTCTCCCGCGACGGGGACGGCAGCCTCGGCGACGGAGGCGATGACGACGGCGACGATGACGAAGATGAAGTTGTCGCTGGCTCCGGATCGCTGAAAAAAGCAGCAGACAATGACAATGATGACAACGACAATGGACCCAAGAAGAAGAAGAAGCGAAAGCCTAGAAAGAAGAAGAAGGTTTCTGCCGCGGCGACTGCTACGAAGCAATCTGACCCTCCGAGGGTGCCGCTGAGCGAGCTTTTTCCTTCGGGCTCGTACCCAGCTGGTGAGGCGCAGGCTTACACCAAGGCCCGGGATACGGATGCGGATACTGGCGTCAATACTGCGCGCACGACGGCCGCGGAGGTGCGATACCAAGCTCGCCCTCACCTCGAGGATCCGAGCCTTCTGAACGACTACCGTAAAGCCGCCGAAGCTCATCGACAGGTTCGGCAGTGGGTTCAGGAGACGGTGAAGCCCGGCAAGCAGACCCTCCTCGAGATCGCTACGGGGATCGAGGACGGGGTGCGGAGTTTGCTGGGGAACCAGGGGTTGGTGGCGGGTGATGCGTTGAAGGCTGGGATGGGGTTTCCTACGGGCCTTTGTCTTAACCATGAGGTTGCGCATCATACGCCGAACCCGGGGCAGAAGGATGTGGTGTTGAAGTATGAGGATGTGATGAAGGTTGATTTTGGGGTGCATGTGAATGGGTGGATTGTGGATAGCGCGTTTACGATGAGTTTTGATCCGGTTTGGGATAGTTTGTTGGCTGGGGTTCGGGATGCTACGGAGAGTGGGATAAAGGTCAGTATTTCTCCTCTGTTACTCCCGCTTACCTTCTTGTCGGGCGAGGAAAGAAAGCTGATGTGTGAGTGTTACAGACTGCCGGAATCGACGTCCGCATCTGCGACGTCAGCGCCGCGATCCAAGAGACGATGGAGAGCTACGAGGTTGAGGTCGGTGGCAAGATGTACCCCGTCAAGCCGGTGCGGAATATCTGCGCGCATGATATTGCGCGGTACCAGATCCATGCGGGCAAGTCGATTCCGTTTATCAAGAACAATGATCAGACCAAGATGGAGGAGGGGGAGATCTTTGCGATTGAGACGTTTGGGACGACGGGGCGGGGGAAGTTGTATGATGATGTGAGTTTCCCCCCTTTCCTGGAGATTGTACTTTGGTTATGTGTGACTACTAAAGGGAAATAGGTCGGTATCTATGGATATAAGCTAGACTACGATGCCCCTGCTCAGGTCAAGTTGCCTTTTGCCTCTGCAAATCGTCTGTATAAGACGATCAAGGAGCAGTTCGGAAGCATCGTCTTTTGCCGTCGGTACCTTGACCGTCTTGGTTTGGACCGGTACTTGGCTGGTGTAAGTTTCTATCAAGTCAAATTGAGGTTGTGGTCCTGAGAGAGAAGATAGTTTACTGACGCCTCGGTTCCTTTTACAGCTTAAATATCTGGAATCTCATGGCATCCTTGAGTCGTATGCACCTCTTGCGGATATCAAGGGATCTCAGTCCGCGCAGTTTGAGCATGTAAGTTACAAATCCTCGACATGAGGCCACGATGAGAAGTGATTGAGGAGACTAACAGACGCAGACCATTTTACTGCGCGAGAACAACAAGGAGATCATTAGTCGAGGGAGCGACTATTGATAGAGTGTAGGGGGAAGAGGAACCTACAGATTTTCTCGGGCCATAAAATGATTGGATGTCTCAACACGCCATGGGAAATCGGGATGGCCTCAACGCCACCTACCTAGTTTGACGTGTTTCAATTCTGCTGGGAGGCAGTCTCAACACTTCCTCGCGTATACTCTAAATTGCGTTCAACACGCTCCAGTCACTCTTCTTTTCGCTGAGTTACTCACTGTTAAGAGCCCAGCCCTCTTGTGGCCACGTAGGGGTGATTTCTGTAGATAGAATCTAAGCTGACGAGAAGAGATTTACAAGCGGAGCTTCCGCGGAGGTGGAGCGTAGGCGTAATGGAGCCCGCGCGGTCAATCGTGGCAGAATATCCGGGCGCTGGCCCGGATCCATTAATCGGGTCCAGCCCGTAACACTCGCCTTGAGTCAAAAATGCTCTTGATGCTTTCAATTTGAACATGGCGTCGTCGTTACACAGCTGCATCCTCTTGCGATTGGACTTTCATGTAATATATATATATATAGATTTATACGGATCCCTCAAGTTGAGAGGAGAGAGACGCGGGTTATAGCTTCCAAGCTTACCCGACCACGAGTCAGATTTTGAAAGGAACCAAGTCGGCTTTTGTAACTCAAAGCCATAGGATTAAAAAACCTACTCCGAACTCCTGGCTTCCATACCTTGCCTTGACTACTAAGGTGTGTTCCCCATACGGAAATGAGTTCAACCTCCGCTCTAGCCCCCGCTCCATTTCCTCCTTCCGCTTCAACTTCTGCTCTCGCTCCAGCTCCAGCTCTAGCTCCAGATCCTGTATCAGCTTTCCTCCTGCGGCCACTCCAAAAGCCGCTTCTCCCGCTCCCGCTTCTCCCGCTCCCGCTTCCGCTTCCGCTTCCGCTTCCGCTGCTGCTTCCGGAACCGCCCTCGTGCCCACTCCCGCAACTTCTCCCGCAGTAGCTCCTGCCCCTGCTCTGGAGACCACTCTGGAGACTGCTTCTTCCTCGCACCGTTGGCCAGAAGCAGCTCTACAACACGACGATGCCCGCCCTCTTTTGCGGCATCGATAGGAAGCACACCTGAGTTGCCCCCTGAATTGGCATCTGCACCATGCTGAAGAAGAAACGTGACAGCCCACATCTGTTTTTCGGGCATCCCCGACACCATATTTGCCCAGTAGTTCAGCTGCCAACCTGAACACAAGAAGTAGAGAAAGTTGTAACCGTCAGCGAATGATGCGTTTACATCTGCTCCATTATCAAGCAGTTTCCTCGCAATATTGGCATTTTTACTTAGCACTGCCATTGTGAAAGGGACTAGAAGAAACTTTGCCCGTAAATCCAGGTTTTGAGGAATCGCGCATCTCTCAAGAATCATGCTGACAGAATCGTAGTGGCCAATCTGGGATGCGCTTACCAGACTTCTGTGCACGATTTCTACAACAATCTCTTCTAGAGGAAATAGTCGCATTGTCCTGACGGGCATTCCGTGCGTGGATACAGCATAGAGGGGGTTGAATCTCGTGGTCATACCCGTTGTGATATGCGCCTCGGTTGATGAGCAGTTCGAAGACGCTTTGATGGCCATTTTCTGCCGCGAGAAACAGTGCAGTCCTGCGCCTATTTTCTTCTATAGTAAAGTGTGCACCTTTGTCTATGAGGTCCCGAACGATCTTGTACTGCCCTTGCTTGGAAGCCGGAAGAAGTGCGTTGCTGCAAAACTCAACTGAGTCCTCAGCTGATATCTTCCTAAGTATGGTATGCCATTGATACTGGGAAGGCGAGATTCGGCGGCCAACTACAGGGCACGTTGTGTGACTTTGGTACCTTTGTTGAGTAGTACCTTAACAACACCCTCATGGCCAGCGCGCACGGCACAGACTAGGACGTCATCGCCATCATGGGCTAGACTTGGGTCGGCTCCCGCTTCTAGAAGGACCTCGACAACATCTCCGTGGCCTGCTGATCCCGCAGCCACAAGAGCATTACCATATTCACCACCCTGTGCGTTTACATTTGCTCCCTTGCTGAGAAGAAGCTGCACGATATCTCGGTGACCACGGTATGAAGCGGCTTGGAGAGCGTTGCCATGTACACCATCAAGGGCGTTGACATCCGTGGTATCCATCGCCAACACTTCCTTGACAGCACTCAGTAGACCTTGAAGTGCGACGAAATATAGAAGAGGAGGATTTTTGCCCTTGAGCATTGTCATGAAGACGCTTCCAGCAAGTTTACAGATCATTTCTCGACCTGTTTCTAATTCAGAGTAACTGTAAGCATCTGATCCCCAAGGGATCTCTTTACTAAATCGTTGGCTTTTGCTTCGTCGTGCTGCCCTGCAACAGTGTTGGTCTTCATTTTCGATAAGAAAATCGAAGTTGATAAGCCAATAGCAAGACACGTAACAATCCTCGTGATAAATGGACTCCTGTATAAGCTTGTGGACGTATTTGCAATCGGCTCGGGCTGCATACTGGGTCCACCATCTTGCAGCGTGCGGCGCTAATGGGTAAGATTGTTTTCGTTGGAAGTTAATGTCTAACAAGTATGCGAGACATGTTTCTGCCATTGATGCTTTGGCGAAGCGCTCTGCAAAAGCGTCGAAAATGTCCTGGTGTAGATGGCTGGAAAGAAGATATTCTTTTACTGAAAAAAGCGCGAGCTGAAGGACTTTCACTGAGCCTGTGTTGACATCGTTCGTTTGAATGACGGACACAACTAGACTGGGACAGTAAGTTGAGATGTGTTCCTCTTCTGGCCTTAATAAGGGATTGAATCTCAGGTGGGGTTGTTTGGCTCTCGGCGAGACTGTGACAATGTCGATTGCTTCCTCCAGGAGCAGTTGCTCTTCTGAATAGAGCAAGAATTGCAGGATTTTCCATGTTTTAGGTCGATGCACGTCGGGAATCCTGCGTAAGATTCTTTCGTATGTTTCGTCCAATGTCGTTGGCAGCGAATCGATAGTTGTTCGAAGCTCTTCATCATTTATACAGAACTGAAGATCAAAAAGTTGACAAGATACCCAGCGAAACCTATGGCACTAATGGTGAGTCTCACAAGCTAATGTAGGATTGGAGCCCTGGATTCTCTCACTTACATTCCATCTGCCTTATTGGTCAGTTCCTCTTCTACCATTCGTCGAGAAGCTCCATCTGCTCGCCACTTTGGCAGGTCGCCCCGTGTTTCGAGTGTTGTTCGAACAAATGCCCGTATGTCGGCATTGACAGATTCGTTTCGTAAAGGAATGTGCATCGGCTTGGGAATACACTCTTTCAAGGCCTGATAGATATCTTCTTCCTTACGGCTTGTTACCAAAACATGAAAATTGATTTCCTCGGACTCCAGGAGAGTTCTGATCCATGGCAGTAGTCCTTTGTTCTTCAGGGCTTGACCGTTTTGACACTCACGTAGTACATCGCGTTCGTCAAGTGCGTCAAGAACAAGCCATATTTCACCCGACTTCTTGGCCATTTCCCTGAATAATGCGCACAAATAAGCAAGGTCGGGCTGTGCCGCATCGGTGTTCCCAGGAATGAAGATTGCGTTTAGGTATCCTTTAGCAGCTTCATTCTGACGACAGAGTTGGACTAAGATAGACCGAAGTGCTCCATCCAGTGACTGCTTTCTTGTGTCCGCAAAAGTGAAGTAGAAGTACAGGCAGTCGACTCCTCTGCTTTGAAGGTCATTGATGATTGTAGAGCTAAGAACCGTCTTACCACATCCAGGACGGCCATATAGCCACAAGGAAGAAGAAGCGGTCGATTTCCACTTGGAATACTCCTTACTGTCGAGAAACCATTGGCCTGTGCCTTCATGATGGTAACCGGCCGCTTCATTGAAATCGTCCGACGCGTCTGGTGGGGCAAGCCAGGAGTGAATTTGGTGAAATCGGACACTATCGTTCAGCTTGAGGACTGCTTGATGCGTGCCTCTTGTGTTCGAGTCAATCTGAGAGACTGGGGTGGAAATTAGAAGCTGAGAACGCATAGAATGGCATCATTGGTACTGTTTGTTACTGACCTATGCCCATAATTCGTTCCACTCCGTCGGCTTGTTCCACACTGGCAGCATTCATAACACCCAGTAATTCTTTTGCGTAGGCAGCCGCAACAATTGCTGCGTAGTTTTGCCACCTATCATTCTTGTGGCTGTCCGCGTAGTCGCAAACTCCTCTTATCACAAGACAGGGAAAATCATTCATCAGACCTGCCGCCTCCATCTCAAAACATAGGCATCCTGTCCCAAGTTGTCGTTGAATCTGGTCTCGGAAGGCGCTGTCCTTAACAACGGTGTTTCCGGAAGCAATGATACCATAATGGATCTCAGGATCGCTTTCAGGTCGATCTTCTCTTTGAGCTCATCTTCGGGATTGCAGTGTACGCAGGCTTCAGTCTTGGTCGTACCCTGAAGTCTTGCTTCTCCGGCCTGGCCAGGCTCGACTGATTAGGCAACCGCTATGTGGCTTTGAAGCCTCCACGGGGAGAGGAAAAGAAATATGATCAGGCCCCAAATCCAGGCCATTGAAAGCCGAAGATGTTGATAAGTTAGCTGAGCGAAGGACACTGGGGCTTCCTTTCTATGAGATCGAGACGCCTGTACTTTGCCTGGTTGTACATGCGGTGATGATGCCGCAAATAGACGATTGTTGCGAGGTCCTTGATGAATAAATGCTGCGTCTTTACCTTGCGGTTCCGCTAACCGTGGAAAGAGGTTGAGCGCATCAGCCAGTAGTTTCGGCAACTGGTTGCCATTGAGTCTCTGGTCGGCCTTCAGCTTCGCCAACCCTTTGAGAAGAACTGCTGGTGGAGAAGCGAGTGAACCGACTCGCTGGAACTCGCCGTTCGCCTTCAATTTCCCCAAATCATACTGTACGACACCTGGAGACCCATCGATAGGTCGACTGACCACAACGTCACCCAGGCGAATATCGACATCATCTTCCAGTCTAGGGATTCCGGCACCGATACCGACCATGAGACCGAATAGAAAGTGTGGGAGCGAGAGAATCATGCTAGTTGCGGTCGTTGCTGCGGATATCAAACCATAGCTTCCATCGGCTAGGGAGGCGATGATCATGTTGTGAGCGCCGATCCGACCCCATGAGTAGCTGTTGGTATCTCGTTGATTTTGGATGAAGTTTTCTGGTTGCTGGTGTCTTTCATCGAGCATAGCAAGCGCGGCTGTGAGTTCTTTGTCCAGAGCAGCGATCCATCCGATGGTGTAGGCCTGGAAGTCAGGAAGTTGTTTCCGGTCTGCCATAGTTTCTTCATTGATGGGACCCAAAGGTCCGAAGTGAAGATGGGCCAGTCCCCGTGGAAAACTTCTACAAACAGCGCAAGTTGCTCATGGGTGGTTGGAGGTGGGTTCGAAGTGGCATTGCCTGAAAAATAGTAAGGCTCACGAGGTTCAGCAGCAGTGGAAACCGAAGATGAGCGGCGCAGCGACAGCCCGACCAGTTACTTTGCGACACCTGGTCTAACAGCCGAGTCTGTCATCAGTGACCTGCATAATCCCATTGACTGTGTGACTGCTTGAACCAATGAGGAAAGACAACGGAGGATTTGCACATTTTGACCGCCAGGTTGAAAGTAGCACAGTCGTCGCGTGCCTTAACTTAACATCTTCGGACGTTACTCCGATGACGGCAGTTATCATGCCCTGCTCTGCTCTGAAGTCTTGCAAACAATCGTGTATTGTTCAAGAACTTATAAGCGAACTTCTATTGATTCTCACTTAGCAAGGTCGTCAAACAGCGTAACCAGACCTATCAAGAGAGCCCCGGCCGTCACAATGAAGCTACCCACCGTCGCCCCAGTCTGAACGCTTGTCTGCAAATCCGCCTCATACTTTAAAACCGCGATGACGGGCCAAGCCACGACGGTGGCAATGCTGATAATCGTCGGCAGCAGAACAACTATCGAAATCAGGGTGGTATCCCATCCGACTACAAACCTCAATCCCTTTGGCGAATCTGCTTGGTTGAGTCGCGGTAGACAGAAGCACGTCGGAGCTCCATTATATCTCTACGAAGATCATGACCAGCCGGTATACTTATTGGAGTTTCATTCTCCACAAGTCTCAAGATCCTTGGGGGGACGTCGAAGGAGGACACTAGTGGCCCCTTGTAGATGCCGTCCGTGATCTATGGAAGCAGGAATGTGGTGTTAGTGAGCCATGTAGAAACTGTCACCGGCCGTATCACAGGTTTCATCTCTCCACTTTCACAAAGCAATCAAACGGACGATGACCAGTGAAAAATATCTTCAGTTTACTTACTTCTACTATCTCAAATCTCACTAGCGCCTTCGGAAGCAGGACCTGGGAGAAACCACCCTCGATTCTAGACAAGCGATAGAAGAAGGAGATGTTTCCACATCTGAAGGTCATCCATACCAGGCTCGTCGGGACCTGGAATCGGGATTCGGACGCAGTCGGACTGTCCGAAGAAGACGGGAATGAAGTTCTCGGGGTGTTTCAATTTCCAGGCTTCGTGATAGTTTTGCGAGAAGCGCCGTCGACGGATGGCGGACAGGCAGTATGTTAGCCAGAAGTACGGCCAAATGGAAGGCCAGAATGAAGATACTTTCGACACCACGACTAGACAAATTGTGGCCTTTTCAGATGAATGAGCCAGAGGTTAGGGAGTGGTTGGGGGAGAGGAACGGGTAGAGGCTGGGCTTACAAAGTAATGACCGACACTGGAAAGCAACGATCCAATAGTGAAAGTACCGCTTCCTAACCCAAGCGCTCTAGAGATCAAGGCAATGACCTGGATAAGTATGATGGAGATAATGACCACACTGAAACTTGACCAGAGAGAGGAGAGGATTATATAATAGACGACAAATGAATTGCAAAATATGAAACAGGCCATGACACGCCAGCTACCGAGAAGTATGGGGAAGTATGGTGCCGGCACAGGCTGTGTGACTCTGTCGACGATGAAGGCATTGATGGTAAAGCCGTGAGGGCGCGTGGGATGTAATTGTCGGTAGAAACGAACAAGATGAATGAGGAACGCATTCCTTCTAGCTAGGCGATCAAAAAGGCTCTCGATATCCATTGCGTTGGTAGCAGTGCTCCAGCAAGTTCGTGTAGTCTGATTTTGATGAAGATTAGGGAAACGGGGAGAAAGACGAGAGGCTGCGATCCTCATCCCTTCCGCGTCTCTTCCCTCGTGGCCACGGAGCTGCGGTTGCTCGTTACAGGGCCGTGACAGGGATAGCATGGATCGTAGAGATCATTCGAGCTGGAGCTGAAGATGGTGGCTGACCGATCTAGTGATCGCCCAATAGAACGTGGTCAACGAAGCCGGCTGTTTTTTCCCCCGGTCTAGATATGAGCTGCAACGAATCAGACCCTGTCTTAATGCGCTTTGAAAGATCATACATTAGGTAGTTGGTCAAGGGGGAGCTCTCTTGCTGGCTAACACTGGCAGGTAAATTTCCCCCAGGGGTTCAGCCGTAGTTGCGATGAATGACATGTACAAAGTGATGCTGCTGAGAAACGACAAGTGTGAATTTGTTCGCTAAAACGTAATCTTGGTACCGGTATGTTTCGCCGCCGCACCCGTCAACCGCGCAACCATGAGATCGTCCTGCGCTTTGAGCTCGCCCGCCGGAGCCTTGGGCTTCTCCGTCTTCGGGGGCCGGGGCGCCCTCGGCATCCTCTCCTCGGTCGCATCCTCGCCGCCCTCCTCGCCATCTCCCCTGGCCTTTTGCTCCTGCCTCTTCGGCGCATCCTTGCCGAACCGCTTCTTGTACCTCGTCTGGTCGTCCTCGGCGAGCTCAATCTTGAGCATGCGACCGAGCAGCTTGTTGACCCACCATTTTCTCAGCTTGAACTTCTTCTCTTCCGTCTTCTTGTCTTCCTCGCCTTCCGCCATCTCGTCGTCACCGTCGTTGTCTTTGGAGGCGACAAAATCGTCTTCCGTCTCAATCTCCTCCTTGATCTTGACGAAGCCCTTGACGGCCCAGCCGGCGGACTCGGGCTCGCGGAACTTGACCCAGCCGTAGCCCTTGCACTTGCCGGTATCCTCAAAGGTGGCGACCTTGACCCAGTCAATCTGCCCGCACTTTTCAAAGTGCTGCCACACGTCGTCGTCGGTCGTCTTGAAGCTCAGGTTGCCAATGAAGATCTTGCTGCTCTTGGGAACCTCCTCCTTGGCCGCAGCCGCACCAGCCCCACCGGCGGCAGCAGTCTCCTCCTCCTTCTTTGGCCGGCCCTCGAACGACTTGGAGTCCTTGATAAGAAGCTTACGACGGCTGAGCTCGGCCTCGGTAAGCGCAATGGCAGCGACCTTGGGCGCGACATCGTTGAAGTCGACGTAGGCGAAACCCTTGTTGGAAGGCTTGTCCTTGCCGGCCTGCTTTGTCGTGGGCATGTGTAATCTCGTGATGGACTCCTCGGTGATCATCTCACCCGAGTTGTCAATGAGCCACTTGCGCAGCTCGTCGGGGGTGACGAAGAAGGGCAGGTTACCGATCCACACGCCGTGCTCGGAGCGGGCGGCGGCCTTGGCCTGGTCCTTCTCCTCCTTCTTCTTGGCTTCCCTCTCGTCATCGCTGTCGAGCTTGACGGGGAGCTTCTTGCCCTTCTTCAGGGCACGCTTGGCGCGCTTGGAGGGGGGTTCGGGGGCCTCGAGGTCGACTTCGATCTCCTCGGCGGCGGCAGTGGATTTGCGCTTCTTGGAGGACTCGGGGGATTGTTTTGGCGCATCTTCGACTTCGGCTTCAGCTTCGGGCTCGGCCTTGGCCTTGGTCTTCTTGGAGCGCTTCTCTGGGTCTGTGGTCGCCATTGTGAAAATTATGTGAGCTCTGCGATCTCGAAGAACTGGTTGCGCTCCAATAACGACGAAGGGGGATTCGAGATGTTACAGGAAACCACCGTGAGAATCTCGCATTGAGACCCTTGGCCGCATGGGCCCAGAAGTTTTTTTTTTGTTCCTGGACCGCAATCGATAAGGCGATAAGATAAGAGAACATGAGCGGAACCCGGTGGGTCCCGACCGATCCACCCCGCCGCCGAGGCCTGCTCACCGAGGTTGACCTGGACGGGCCCAGGTCAGACGGATGTACCCAGACATGTAGCGATACTTGGTGACAGCTTGGGCTGCAGCTAGCTGACTCTGTTTAGCGGTCGAGGAGGTTGGCACTTTGCCCGAAATTTCCGCCCTGCATATTTGGCAGTACCTTCATGTCCTATATGACTAAGAAGCGGATACAGGTGGCCATGATGCAGAAGGGAAAAAGAAGAAGAAGAAGCGGTGACTGAGACTTTTTTCCCGGGCCTCAGATTTGAGTCTCTGGGTCTCTGTTGTCTCTCTCCCTTTGACTGTGGATATGGGCTTGTTTGCAAGTCATCATTTTTCGCCCGGGTCAGTTGTCTTGTTTTGATTCAGAAGAGAGCAGTGCGGCTCAATGTAACCCGACGCAAATGAGGAATAAAGTGCCAACTAAGGACTTGTCGTCAAGGACAATAAGGGGCATCCACTTTGTGGCCGGGGAGTTCCAGGTTCTTTGCCATCAAGGGACGCTGAAGAAGGTTAGAGGGGTTGGAAGGCGTTCATGGATGATGATGCGAATGGGGCCACCCGCGACCCGCTTACCTTACTTTACTTTACCTAAAGTGCCTTTTGCGAGGGTATCCGTAGAGAGTTGAGATGAGCATCTGTCCGTATTGGCTTGTCGACGCCTCTGAACTCTCTCTGACAAGCCAGTTTCTATTGTTGCAGAAGGTTATTATGCTTTGACAGTTCGAATCCACTTGCGAGATACTGATATTACCCTAGAATAAGGTAACTTTACTTCCGGTGAGTGGGTGAGGTAACAAAGTCAGCTGAAAAGGAGGCGGAAGAGAGTGGAGAGTTGTAACTGGTAAGCCAAGGTACCTTACCTTGCGTGCTTGCCTTCAGAGTGAGACTCCCGGCTCAAGAGGGAGAGAGGGAGAGGGAAAAAATGGTCAGAGACAACCCCCCACCAGTGGCAGAGGCGCCAACGCCGCCGGATTGGCGCCCCCCATCATCCAACTCACGTGCGGGCGATTCCCGACGAATGGGATCCGCCAGTCACCCAGACGAAACCGCCCAGTGGCCGCCATCCCGCTGCCCCCCCCGGTCACAACAACTCGCAGAGTGCAGAAGTGACAACCAATGCCGCCTCGGTAAGGTGTGGTCGTGTGCCTCGTCGAGGTACCGTAAGTACTTGTACATGCTTGCCGTTGGTGGATGGTGCCTGCTGTTTCGGCATAGGGCATCCATCGGGCCCTTGACCGCTTCTGTTTAATATTACAGGCGGCTTGCAGCAGGTCGACCCAGTGGTGCTGCACCCTCTTCATCTAGGCTCCTCTCTCTGGTACGGGAACATCTGCAAGCTACTGTGAATGCAGTCGGGTCCAATAAGGTAAGGTAGGTAGCACACCTCTTGGTCTAAACCTGTACCCAGGCCTTTTCGAGCATTTCTCTATACCTCTGTGTCTGTAGGCCTGCAACTCGGCACAGAGAGTGGATAGGTGGGCATCCCATCCAGCCAACGCACGTTGCTTAGCTGGGTTTAGGTGGTTCCAGCGATCCAGTGACCCAGTTGCAGGGCTTGCAGCAGCAAATCCCACGCCGCCATCTGAGCAAGGTCCAGCAGGCCCAAGCCTACCAGGTTAGTCCCCAGCAGCTTAGTACCACTGTAGAGAAGGCGAGAGATGCGGTACAAGCACTGAAAGAGGAAAAGGCCCTTTTTTCCCTTTCCTCCAAGTCCCCTTCGCTTCCTCAGGTGTGCAGCGGGTGCTATCCCTCGCTCCGTTCGCCTCCATCGTCCTTCTTCTCCTTTGCCCAAATCCTCCTGCCGACTGCTCTTCTTTCCCCTCACATTCACCCTCCTCACACAAAGCCCACAACCATCAATCCAAACAAGAACCCGTCTTCCCGTCTTCTTCCCGACACTTACCGCCCGACCGACTCATCTTCAATCAAAGCAGCTCGAGCATCTGGTCGCACCTAGATTGTTGTCGTCGTCGCCGTCGTTGTTGGTCGCAACTGTCGTCGTCAGCCAGAGTCAAAAAGCAGGAAGCCTTCCCGCCCGACTCCGACCCCCCGATCTTTCGGATTCAATCACAACATGAATGTGTTGCTGTCGCCACAACCGCCGCTCTTCCAACATCCCCACGATCCCAACCGTATTTCTCCCTCTCGTTCTTGTGAGTATTTTCCTCATCGCCATTTACTCCCTGGGCTGGCATAGCATGGGGCGAAAGACAGTTCTTGATTTTCTTCTGCACCCGCTACCCGACGACTCGTGCATCCTGACGCTAACCCTTAAACAGTGAGCCCATTTCACAACATGGCCACCAGCCGAAAGCGCAAGGCTGACGAGGACGGCGATGAGATGTCCCTCTCCCCCCGAAGCTCCCCATCCACCTCATCAAGACAACTTCAGCGCCCCTCGAAAAAGGTTCGCTCGAACGAACTGGTCGGCCGCCCACTCACTCTCCCCCGACTGCTGGAGACTCTGGACCCAACCGCATTGCGAACCGTTCTCGAGCGAATCTGCGAGCGTCACCCTGACATCGGCCGGGAGGTCGTCAGCAGCGCCCCTCGCCCGACAGTCGCCGCTGCCCACGGCGTTTTGCAAGAGTACCAGGACAAGATGAAGGTCGCCATTCCGTACGGAGAGACTAGTCCCGACTACACCTATTACCGGGTTAAGGCGCCCCTGACGGCTCTTATCGATGCACTCCTCGACTTCACCCCTCAGTATCTTCCCCCCAACGAGAACCAGACTACCGTCTCCCTGCAATATCTGGACGGAGCCACCAAGATTATCCACGCCCTTCCAGACTGGGAACCCCAACAATATCGTCACCACAAGGAAAACGCATATGACGAAATCGCAAAGGCCTGGGCCCTGGTCATCAACGAGGCGGCTAAGCGCGGGGGCGGTCTGAGCCTGCACACCGGAGGATGGGACCAGACCCTGGCGAAACACCACGAGATCTCGGGCGGACGAATGGGCACGGCGATGAATGCCATGGCGACGAGCGTCAGCTGGATGGCAAATGGGGGCGCCAATGGACAACAGCCCGGAAACCAATCCTCGGATCCGAACTCAATCCTCAACCAGCTCATGTCTGGCACTTACGGCGCACCTGTGCGTGTCGGACCTTGGTAGAAATTCGAGACTGGGGTGACGAAAGAACAAAATCACCCGAACGTCAAATAATAAGCATCGCCGCAACATCGGCCACGGTCGGCGGCACCCACTGAACATATCACGACGACTATAACGACGGCTTCTTTCCTTCATTACTTCATTCAGCATGGGGCGGCAACGGGCATAGACTATTGGGTTCCACGGACAACTTTTCTGTCAGGACCATGAGGGGTTGGGCGGCGTTTTGTCATTTTCCGTTGATTTGATGATATCCCTTTCCTGACGCTAGTTGCGAGTCTTCTTGCGGATGGGAATTGGGGTGTTCTTACTCCCTATTCTCATCCTGCGGTTGACGAGGAAATCGAGTCACGCTCTTCGCATGTAGGTAGTTAGTTTTGGTTTTCTTAGGTTTAAGGGACATCATCCTGGGGACAGCAAGCAATCGATGATCCCACCCACTTGGGAGAGTTCAGTCCACACATCACTTCTAATTATCGCCTTTGATGGAAACGCTGCGTCGGTTGATTGAGGATGAGTGAGAGCGAGAGGTATCCTGTAATGAGAACAAATGAGTTCAGGCTTGAGTCGTGCAGGGCAGATAACGGTTTCACAGCAGTTGGCTACCTCATATTAGTGTAGCATGGAATTTAAGGTATTAGCACGTTGTATCCATGCAAGCGTACGTGTCCTACGAGTCGCTTAGTTTGCGTGCATCCAAGACGGCACATCTGTTTCAACTGCCCACTGAGTCGGTGACATCCGCGATGGCCACATGCGTTCCCCTTTATCAATCGAGAACAAAAACGGCCTGCAGCAGTCTTGCAGGTTGCATGTTTGTGTGTTTGGCGTTGACAAACACCTTGATTCATGAGAGAACTAATTGTAATTTCATGATGAGAAAGTACCGGCAGACATGTATAGGTGTTCGTTCTGATGCAACCCCTCTCCTCTGTGTGTGCCTGATCATCGTCAGCCTTTCACAGATGCCGGGCCCGGGTCAGCCGCAGCGCCCATGATCGTCGCCGTCCTTCCCGGGCTGCCTCTTTCTGCTCTCTGCTGACTATGAGCGAGCCCGGCAAGGCTTCTGGTTTACATGTTGAGATTGCTCATTTTCTTTCCCCTGTTCGTGCGCTTTGGTCATGTTACACCAAAGCACTCCCACCACTCCGTCCCCTCACTCGCTCCGATGTTTCTCGTGGCCTGTCCCTGTTCAGCTTCTTTTTTCCCCTTGAGTGTGTATCGTGTGTTGTGTGTCGTGTGGTTTGAGCAGTAGACTAAACCCTTCTCGATAAGTTGGCCTAGAGTCAAGAAAGGGCTGAAACTCGTCAGAGATGCACGTCTCTCGCTGGTGGTGATGAGATTGGATCCTCTCCTCCCCTTTCGCCGATTACGAGATGACCCTCCAACCTTGCGGGCATTTGGGATGCACCTGACATTGGCCGCGCCCGCTTTGCTCCCACACACACTGTTTGGCTGCTCCAGGGTTGCTCCAGGAAAATAAAGCTTTCGAACCTCGTTATGGCGGCAGATGGCGGGGTAGGTTTGTGGAGGCTCTTACTCCAACCGTTCGCTGTTCGGACGACAGCGGCACTGAACTCTGCTTGTTAAGGTGCCTAGGTCCCTCCCTTTCCCCCCCGCCCGCTTTCTTTTCAGGTACTGCTGCCGCTGAAAGTACCTGCTGAAACCCCCGGGGGCTAGGCCTCAGCCCTCCAGGTCCCGTCAGGTACGGGTAGCTCCAGCAAATGTTAGTGGGGGCTTATCTCATGTGTCACGGCCACATGACTACCCGTCATTGCTGCCTCCCGCGCTCGACTCGACGCGTCAAGGCAGGCGTGGATGTGAACGCGCGCCGCTTCTGTTGCACATCACTTCTTTTAGGCAGAGAGCCCATACCAGCTCTGCCCACGTCGTCCAACCTTCCTCCTTGAAGGATCTTGTTCCAGATTTCAAAGCCGCATCGAGCATTATAATACCCCGAAATTGTGTAAAAGAGACTTCCTGTTCGACAAGATGCCCGCGTATGTTTGCCACTTTCCAGACGCGTCTCGTCCGCTGACACACTCCGAAATAGCCCGGGCGATCAGCACAGCATCGTGGTGAACCCTTTCGAGGAGCCACAGAAACGAATGAGCGAGTACACGGCACAGGAAATCGCGACTTTGCAAAGTCGTCTCGAGAAGCAGCTCGGCCCCGAATACCTATCCTCACGCGCCGGTCCCTCAGGCCAAAAGGTTCACTACATCACCGCCGAGAAGTGCATTGCTCTCGCCAATGAGGTATTTGGCTTCAATGGCTGGTCCTCGTCCATCCAGAATATCCAGGTCGACTTTGTCGACGAGCACCCGCAGACGATGAGGATCAGTCTTGGACTCTCTGTGATTATCAGGGTGACGCTCCGCGACGGCACGTTTCACGAGGATATTGGGTATGGACACATTGAGAACTGCAAGGGCAAGGCCGCAGCGTTTGAAAAGGCGAAAAAGGAGGGCACCACAGACGCGTTGAAGAGGGCGTTGAGGAACTTTGGCAATGTGTTGGGCAACTGCATCTACGACAAGGATTACCTCGCCAGGGTGATCAAGATGAAGGTTGAGCCGAAAAGGTTCCACGAGGACGACTTGCACAGACAGCGTGACTTCGTCGTTAAGAAGGTGGAGGAGAAGGCACCACCAGCACCACCAGTGAAACTAGAGGTCACGGAATCGCTTGAGGATCTGATGGGTGAAGGTAGGAAGCCTCTGGCGTTGCTGATGGGGCGCAGAGCTATCTCACTGACATGACTAGACTTTGACGATGTAGACTTCGCCATTTCCGAAGGCGAACATCCCGACGAAGTCGCTCTCCCGCCAACAACGAACGGTACCTCGAACAGTAGAGCTGCGAGCGTTGCCCCAGCGCCGGTACCTCAACACATGCAAGCACCGTCTCGACAAATGGGCAGGAGCACGTCAGCAGGAAACTTGGGAAACAATGGAAATCAGCGAACACCCCAGACACCGAATCAAGCACAATCACGACCGGGCCCTCCAACAGGCTACGGTAACAGACCTCAGCCACCTAATCAACCCCGCGCACCCACGAACCCGTCAGGCCCATCCGCTCCGTCCGCTCCCACAGCAAACGCCAATATGACAACGCCAGGGCAGGCCGGCAATGCCGCCGCCGAACCAGTCGGCTTCTTCTCTGCACGTGCTGTACAGCAAATCCCAGAATCTGCTCTGCAGGGGAACAATGCTGACGCCTCCATGTTGCTGCCAGCCGGCCAACAAGTCTTCAATCCAAAGGCAGAGAGCCCATCCATACGAAAGACCCCCGGCATAGACCACTCGAGCTCCAAGCCGCTCGCTAGATCTGGTCAACACGTCCCGCCCACCCCATCGCAACAACCATCTACCTCTGGCTTCACGCCGGTGAGACCGGGTAATGCCGGCCCGGGAGGAGGGGCCGGTATGCCTCACCCTCAGTTCAGCCAGAGTCGCCGCATCGGAGCTCCTGGTGGCGCTGGTAGTCCTTTGGCCAACCGCAATTCGTATCGACCGCCGACTATGAAGCGTCCTTTGCAGCAGGACGGCGCCGGACGACCGGCCCTCGCTGATGTTTCGAATAACGGGACGTCGGGCAACCCTCCTGGCACACCTGGAGCAGACCCAAAACGCCAGAAGATGGCTTGAGATTACACGATATTGCCGTAATCAAGCGTGGTTATTAGATTGCTTTGGCCCGGAGCTTTGGAGTCTGTCTTGCTAGGTCGTATGGGTGGCATAATTATGTACGGAGTTTCTGGGGCTGGGCTGATCGATGTCTGGCCATGGCGCCCTAGACACTATTATGGAACATTATGAGCTAGTTTCCTCTATTCTCCCGCCCTTGCAGTGCCCTTTGACATAACTCCTATAAGGCCTGCAGACAACAAGTGCGCTCCAATATCGGCTCCAATAAGGTACAAATGGTTAGCAAATTGTTTACGAAATTGTCATTTGCTAACGAAGATAGATAAGTGGCTTACAGCAGAGCCAGTGGGAGCTTTATAATTCGCCATTTGGCTCTTCCGGGTCAACCTTGACGAATACTTTCCAACTTTACTAAGGAACGTGGCATCACTAAGAGCAACGCCAATACCAGTTGTCATGGACTTTCCTCAGTCGCTAGTCGTGGTCAAGGACTCAAGGTCACGTCAGGAGGTATTCTGAGGTTCCCAACGAAAACAACACATAGGGCGGAATATGGAGGGTTATATTAAGAACTAAAGAGATATCGGTAGAACGATAGCGTTTTTCCGTTTTGTCCTCAGCATTGAGGGGGCTTTTGAAGAGGGCGCAAATTGCGACCAGTCTGCAGATTTCTGAACAAAAGAGACTTCCTCTAATCCAATCAGTCGCAACAACATGGGCCAGTTTGATCGAAATCTGTACCCCTTTCACTACAACTTATTCCTGGAGCTTAAGATCGGAACGGGCTGTGGATCTTGCCATCGGTAGCTCCGATCTGAACGGTCAAGTCACCCAGAGTGAAAGTGTAGAAGGGCTGGTCGACGTCACGGGCGGTGGGCTGAGACAGGGAGAGTCTCTCGACCGGCTGCTTGTACCCGTCCTTGCGGACGATGGCGAAGGCGTCGGTGGAGTTGATTTTGACGGGCCAGTTGAAGGGGGTAGTGCCGAGGCGGAGGGTTCCGATCTTGACGGGGCCGAAATCGAAGAAGCCTAGACTGCGGATGGTCGCCGTCTTGTTGTCGCCGATGCTCGCGGTGACGCGGACGTTGGCGAGCTGGTAGGGGTTCTCGGCGCTCAGGAGCTGGGCGGAGGGGTATTGCTTCTTGATGATGTCGAGGCCTGCGTTGACGATGTCGTCCCAGGAGATGAGGACGATCTTGGAGTTCTTGTCTCCGGACTTTGCAATGTCGGATTCGGTGGTGTCGTCTGTGGCCTTGGAGGCCTGGTTGACGGAGAAGAGGGCCAGGGGGTTGAGGGTCTCGGTGGAGGTGGGCGGCTTGATGATGACCTTGTGGACTGCGCGGTAGGCGAAGGGTGGGAGGTTCTGCGAGACGTAGACGTCGACCTCGGTGTCGCCGGTCTGCAGGGGGTCGAAGGTCCACTCGATCTGGTTGTCGACGATGTGGGCGTTGGTCAGCTTCAGGAAGCGGTCGTCGAAGGTGATGTCGACGCTGCCTCCCTTGCCTGTGAACTGGTCATTCTGGAGAACTGTGACGGGCTTGCCGAGCTTGGTGATGATGGGCTCCGTGGGGGGGATGAGCTTAAATTTGGGGGCTTCGGAGCTAGCTGTCACGTTGGAGGCCGTTTGGGCGCTGCTGTTGTTGTTGCTGCTGGAGCCATCCTTCAACAGGGGCTGGATCTTGACCTTGTATTCGGCGCCCTCGGCGCCCTTGATGAGCACGAAGCCGGAAGGGAAGACGCGGCTGGGCAGCTCGATGTTGAAAGTGTTTACAACATCGTAGGGTTGGGTTCCCTGGGTGACGGGGCCAACCCATCCCTGGACTTCGAAGAGAAGGCCACCGAGGAACGGAAGCCGCTTGAACTCGATGCCCGTGGTGATGTGGATAGCATTGCCCCGGGCTCTGAGGATGAGTTGCTTGCTGTCGTTGTCGTACCAAGCTTGAAGGCCTTGCTGGGTGATTGGGACCGGAGAGAGGTGCTGAGAGGCCTAGGGGGCTGCTGGGAGGAAGACATGGTGATGAATTTGGGAGTTGTCTTTCGACTGAGCGAAGCAAACTGTTCAAGTGCTTAGTTTGATGATTGGAGTAGATGTTTGAGAGTGAAGCGGATGATGATGAGCAAGAAAGAGTGTTGGATTCACAGGTTCTCATCTCTACTCTTATACTCGAAGCCAAGAAGTATCTCCATGCTCAAAAGCATAAGATTCAGTAAGTCCTCTGCTCACTCCAGCCTTCGCCGACTCTTGGAATGAATTCGTGGTCTCGATTCCCCAATGCGGTCGAATACCAGCACATCACCAAGCCCAAAAAGCAGCAAAGGCGTTCAGCTTCTCGTCCCGAGCATGTTGAGCCATTCACGTTGCCGTAGCTGCGTGCCACTTAGAGTTCCACGATGTCTCTCCTGCTGCGGCTTCTGGGCCTTCAAGGCTCAGGGAGCTGCATTTGCCCATCATGCCATTTCATGACGCCTTTTTCCGCGATGCCGCCTCAGCTCAAACGGGAACGGGGTCAGTTGATCGTGAGAATCCTAAGAATTTTGACAATGTCCGCCGGATTAAGACTAGAAGCAGGCGGGGTAACCCATCCCGCGTGGTTAACCGTCGTGCCGTCTACGAAGTGCGTGCCGTCCAGTGTCTCAGGCGTTTCTCAGCCGCACGATGTTGTTCTAGGGTAACTTGATTCGCAGCTAAAGGGCGGCAAGGCAGGTGCCCCGCGCGTGGCCCGGTCCGTGGTCCTGCATGTTGATGTTTACGGTAGCCCGGAACACGATGAAAACATTCCTGGCGGGGGATTTTGTGGCGTTTCAAAGGGTCCAGCTGAGATACCTTTGCCCTTTTCTTTTTGTTCTCGACCCTGCAAACATTCGCTCGCTCAATGCTGTGTGAGGGAATGCGGGATGGCGAATGCGTCTTATGAGGCCATTCTGAGTACAGATGGGGCTTATGGCGAGGGAATTCTGTTCTTAATGGCAAAGTTTTGCAAGCCACTCAACGGATGAAGGGATGGCTACTGCATCAACACGAGTAGAGCCGGCAGGTGATGCAGCCAGGAAAAATTGCGCATCTAGACCAACTTTTTCGCCGGCATAAGTTGGTATGTGGTCGGTGGCGTCTGCAAAACGTGTGGTTTTTGGTGTAGGTGAGCATGCCGTTCGTGTGTTAGATTCCTGCCGTATCTAAGTACGAGTGGCGGTGAGAGTTGAATGTGAATAGTGACAGAATACTACGAGCTTCATATAATTAGGGCTGGCGATGCTCGGGCTGCATGATAATTGAGGGCATCGTGCCAAGTCTCGGGAAGGGCAATGGAAAGGACGCATCGTGACATACTGTCTTGGGCGCATATTTCCTGCTGCCATTAATTTGCCACACGACTGCAAATGAGAGTGGCTGCTTTCTGAAACCTACATGCCATTGAACAATGTTGGTAGTCTTTGCATGCATTTCAAGCTGGGAGTAGTCAAGATCGTACAAGATTCCCTCTGTGCAGGTGCTGTTCAACATTACAGTATTTCGCTAACAAAATCGTTCTGCTTGCTACATGACCAAGAAGGTGAGCACGTATATTTCTTGTCAAGCTTGCTAAACGCTGAGCGTAGTGCAAAATGTGAGATGTACCTCAAACTTTTCTTTCCGTAGCTCATCTGTGTAATTCCTCCTTTTCAACCTTCAACTGAGGGATGGGATATAGCCAATTACACCCCACTCGAGATAGCCAAAGCGAAGGATGAGGTACTCTCATGAGAAATTCATCGGCCATCATTTCCTCTTAAAAATGGGTGTCTGCTGTATCTACAGATATGTGGCTGTGAGCCTGTGATCGAATTGATAAATAGAAAAATACCAATTGCGAAACTAGGAGGCAATATAAAGGGTGTGCTGCCTCGGAGTAATGTGTGATCTCAAGTTCCTCTACATGATGGCAGGGGAAAGCACTCTGCCATAGAGATATAGTCTGCCAAGTGACGACTGTTTCTCGGATTTTGTTATGAGCCCAGCCCTCGTGTGGCCACGTAGAGGTGGTTTCTGTATATAGAATCTAAGCTGACGAGAAGAGATTTACAAGCGAAGCTTCCGCGGAGGTGGAGCGTAGGCGTAATAGAGCCCGCGCGGTCAATCGTGGCAAAATATCCGGGCGCTGGCCCGGATCCACTAATCGGGTCCAGCCCGTAACAGATTTTCACTCTTATGTGTTTACTCAAACGGCTAAGAGGGCAAGCCTGTCTGGAGCGTGCACTTGGTGTTATCACGTTGCTTGTTAAAGACATTGCTCTTTTCACATGCATTCGTTCACGGCTATAAGCGTACACTTAGATGGGCCATAACTGAGGATTTGAGTTCTACTGACTTCTTTATCCAGAACGGCCCGTTTCCGTACCTTGAAATGTGTTAGTGATTAGAAATGTGACTTGGCCACTGAAGCCCTAAATTCTTCGTCGCCTTCGTTTCTTCTGTGCCCGCCCGCCAACATAACGAGATCATATAATGGAAACATAATATCATGTGTACAAGGAGCTCAAATTACTGTGTGATTCAACTGTATGCTGTCCCAGGGCTTGCGCAGTCCAAAATACAATGTTAATCGCAGAGAAATGGCCTGTTAAGCATCGTGATAGAATGAGATCTTTAAGAGGCTTAATTGAAAGATATCTCATGGTGACAAAGACTTCATAAGGTATTTAGACCTTCATTTTCCCTCTCTTCATAGCAAGAGAGGCCCATTTGTCTCATCATCTTCCACCATCTACGCAACTGACCATAGTCGCTGACGATTACGAGAATGTCGTCTAACTGTTGGAACAGCAAAGGCTGATAAGGAGTAATAGGCAGGTACCATGGGCTGGCTGGCACCTGCCCTGGGCGAAGTGGGACAACTGGCTTAGTCATCACGGCCGGATAAAGGTGGGGCAACCACACAGGCCGTCACTACCTACTTCGACCGACTCCTGCCTACAATGTAAGATAGAACAACAACAAGAAGAACAAGCAATAGGATCACCAACAGACGAGTGATAATTGCTACCACTATTTGTCGTATACTACCCCGTGAACCAACACTAACAATATCTTGAAGAACAAAGATTCTTGTCCTACAATCACTTTGTACCATGAATTCTTCATGTTATCGCAATCAGGAGGGACACCCTTGATGGAATATCGGTCGGCTATAGATCCTTGAGACAGGACACTGGACATGCATGATGGCGGAGAGGGCACTACATGATTACTAGAGGGTTTTGTTAGGCGTCTCGAGTAAAGTGATGAGAACGTGAAAATATTAGCTTTATCTCTGCTGAGATTTTGCAAAAGAATAATGCGTTGAATGATTGAAGCGAATTCCAGTTCTCAATGAGCTTGTATGCTGCCTGGGCCTCTTCCATCTTGTCATATTGCATCAAGCATGAGGATCCAGGAGGCACACAAATTGTCCTCTCACACTACAATCGTGGGCCATTGCAGAGTTTTGGTGTACAAGGATGATTAATTGGTGGTTGGACATACCTCATGAGGCCGGTGTTCTGCAAATAACACTCTTTAGACATTGTGACAAACTTGAAACGTCTGAAAATGATCTTTTCTCATACAGACGAAGTAGTGGTATACACGTTAGCTGGGCAAGGCCTTTCGGCCTGTATGAAGCCTGATGATAGTAATTATATCTAACTCCGTAGTGGTATGTGGAAGGAGGAAGTTGAGGCCTAAGATTTCTCCGTTGGGTGTAAATAGGACGAATGGCTGTTTGAACGGCCCAGACCACCATCCAAAGCCACATCTCCTGCCAATATTCCAAGCTGAAGAGCAAGTGTCATTGGAGCGCCAGAAGACGTAGTCGAACATACTGCAAAGGGTTCATATCAGTAGGTACAAGTCACATTGATCTTCAGAGTTGCCAGATTTGTCATACGTAATCATTGCCCTTGAAAGGCATCAACCTCCATCCCCGAATTCTGTAAGCCCCTAGATCATGGAAACTTTGGCAGTTGCAAAACATCGAAGTGGTAACATTCTTATGTACGAAGTACGGGAGGAGTCGGTTTGCGTCGGACCCCACTAATTACAAGGCAAATGTGTCGATAGCCTTGGAATCCCTTATTGGTTGGTAGGCAGCTCCTGGTTATAATTATGGGATCGCTGCGCCGCAGGTAGTACTGGACGCAAGCATGTGCAGAAAGAGGCATTGATTGGGCATCAAGCTTTTTGATAGAGTTGTTGGTATTCCTTTCACAGGGAATTTGGTTCGAACCGTAGGGTCCTGGGGTGACGAAGTATCAATATCTCTGTATTGATTGATTCTGCGTAAGGAGTAGAAGGGAGATTCCAACCGGAGGTTGGGTGGGTAGTCGAGGTCTAATTGTACTCCGTCGAGGTGGCCCATGCTCTGCCCTTACTCGCGGTCGAATTGGACTTCCAATCCGACAAGAGTCAAAAGATCTTTGCCCGGATAAATTGTTCCCGGTTCCCTTGGGGAATATCTATGTAGGCGCATGTCGCATGTGATTTGTTGTACGCTTACGACGCAGCCTCACGCGCTTGTCATTTTCGTGGCTTCCTCGTTTCCTTATCTTGACCTTGTCTCTGGCCTCCTCGCCCAAGGTGACGAGTTCCAAAACGTCGGCTTACCCAATGGAAGCCGGATGCCCTTTTCTCGACGTGGTACTGTTGGATCTCTGAGCAGTCGGCAGAAAAGATGGATCTGGAAGGCGGTATGGGCACATACAACGGCCCTTTCACTTATATACCACTTCTGGGAGATCGTGGGCTCTGCCCACAATCTCCTCCTTCCACCTCCAGACGCAGCAATAATAGACCATTATTGACACTTCGTTCCAACCGTACGGTTGCCCTGCTGACTTATATACCAACAGGTACCAGACTATCCACATGGATCAACGCCAGTCCCTCCTAGAGACCACCAGTGCGAAGAGGGGCGCATATGAAGACAGGACGAGAGACGAGGGATCCAACCTCGACAAGCGCCAGAAAGTGCGGCACAGCAAAAATGTCGAAGACCGCTTGACGCAAGGTTTTGAAGGAGATATCAGGCTTCGTCACACCGACTATACTGTTGGATGGATATGCGCACTTCCGATCGAAATGGCCGCAGGGCGCGCCATGTTGGATCGAATCCACGAAGACCTACCCACGAGAGGCAACGATACGAACGCTTACATCTTGGGGAATGTTGGCAAGCACAATATTGCCATGGCTTGCTTGCCTGCTGGCCAATATGCGCCGGACTTTTGAGTCCATTCGAATTAGACTGATGGTTGGAATCGGCGGCGGCGTACCCGGCAACATCAATATTCGACTCGGGGACGTTGTAGTCTGTGATAAGGTACTGCAGTACGACTTGGGCAAGATTATTACGGGTAACCGTGTCCAGCGAACTGGGACTGCTCGCGTCCCTCCCCAAATTCTTCTCAACGCAGTCTCCAAGCTGAGAGCGATCCATGAGACCAGACCGAGTGAAATTCCCGCCATCTTGCAAGACATGCATAAGCGCCACCACAACATGGCTGAATATGTTTGTCCTAGCTTGGACGAGGACCGATTGTTCCGCGCGACCTACGATCATGAAGGCTCAAATAATTGCAAGAACTGTAGCCTTGCTGAAATACAACATCGAGATAGAAGGGCAACGTGTCACCAAAGAATCCACTTTGGCGGTATTGCATCCGGCAACCAGGTTGGGAAATGCGGCAGGACCCGAGATGCATTGGCCAAGGAACTAAAAAAATTGTGTTTTGAAATGGAAGCTGCTGGCTTGATGGATAATTTTCCTTGCCTAGTAATAAAAGGACGTGCCGGGCGCAATGCCGACATGGTCTATACTAATCTAAACTATATTACAGGCTACCGTCTTTACCTAACGTTCCTGTTCAATGACTCGGGTAAATTTCGGAAAAGAAATTGGTCTCCTCTATCCGTTCGTATAGAAGAGAGGCTCCCTTAGCAGAACCTAACAAGAAATCAATGCTTGCTTTAGCCATATGTTGGCGGAGGTAGCGCGAGTCCAGGAGGAAGAGAGCCTATTGAAGGCCCTAAATCTAGCCTGGCTACTTCCTGTGCTCTGGGAGTATAGTCTAGCCGCGACTGCGAGGTTGTCGAGGCAGATGTGGACGTTATCTGCCATACGAGCCGTAGGAGCCCGGGTGGCTTCCATCAGGCCGTGATACGCAGCATGTGCCTCCGCGTCATACACCTCAGTTTGGGAGCCGAGTGGTTCGGATCCGCGGAAGATCTGCCGTGTAGCTTGGTACCCTACCCAGCCTGCTCCGGCGGAGGTGCTGCTGCCGTCCGACATCTGGGACCCGTCAGTGTAGACAACAATGTCCCGCTTGGAGAAAGTTGCCATCCTGCCTGCAAAGGAGAGGGCCTGTTCTTCTTTGGTCTTATTAGGTTCGTAGCCGACCCTGGCGAGGGCTGTCTGCCAGTCCGCTAGTTGCTCCCAAGGGGGGAGTTCTAACGGATCGATGTATTCGGTATTTTTGCTTACGAGGCTTGCCATTCGTCGTAGCCGTGAGTCTGGTCCTGATTTGTCCCTGAGTCTCGTTCGGAGAGGGTGTCGCTCGTCCAGACGATGGATTCTGGTGGACGCTGTGTGGAGCTTCGCGTCCAGTATCACCTCTGCTGGGGGTAGAGCCGCCTCGCGCTATAGGATCGGTACAGGCGTAGTTCTGTATACGGGGACCATCGCTCTAATGGCTTTGGTTTGCGTCGCGTCTAGTTGGTATAGTAGACTACCAACCCCGTTTAAGATAGTACGTCCATTCTTTATCCGGCTCTTGCCGGGCCACCATACTTTAGATGCATAGTACTAAGTAGGTAATACACAAGAGGTAATCGCTCGACAAAGTAAGTACGCAGGCGCGCCCCAGACAGTGTTCCTTAGTCCCCGTAGTCCATTAACTACTTAGTATGCTTTTACGGAGAGGTTTCTTACGTGACTCTTGAATATGAGTTTACGGTCGAAGTGAACGCCGAGCCAGCGTAGAAAAGAGCCTTCTTTAATAGCCTAAACTATATAATACCTCCCATCCGGTAAACCTACTATGATTAATAGGTTTCCGTCTTTTCGTCTCTTAGTAAAGTAGATCAGTTCGGACTTATCGAGGTCAAAAGTAATTCCTTCTATCGCGCCCCATCCTAAGGATTCTTTCCATTCCTTAATTAGAATGTCACAGTTATTCTCTAGTGATATTAAGCTTACCAAGATAGCGACGTCATCGGCGTAGCCAAAACGAAATCGCTTCCTTCCTAAGCGAGCTATACCTAGCTTAAAAAAAGGTTCGATATAGAGCATAAACAGAATAGGAGACACGGGTAAGCCTTATAGTAGTCCGCATTCAAGACCGAAGACGTCTCCTACCTCCCCATCAAGTCTTATTCTAGCTCTCCTTCCGGTAACAAAGCTTAAGACCTAGCGTACGAGGTTCTCCGGCCATCCTTATTCGCAGAGGCGTCGGACCAGTCGTCCTAGGAGCACGGCGTCGAAAGCCCCTTTTATATCGAGCATAAGCATAGAGGTAACCAGGCCTCTTTGCCAGGCGCACTCGATATCGTGGATGGCCGCTACGATAAGGTCGCTACAAGAGCGAAGAGGGAGTGCTCCAAACTATTAATCGTGCAGAACACGATATTTAACTACGATCCAGGCAAGTCGTCTAGCGATAAGTCTCTCCAAGCCTTTTCCGAGGACGGCCAAGAGCGCAATTAGCCTATAGGAGCGCGGGAGTGTCTTATCTCTTTTTCCCGGTTTTGCTAGGATCACGAGAGTTGCTTGTTTAAAACTGTTGGAATAGGCCTACATTAGGCAGCAGGAGGTTGCTGCCGCGGTCCGTTCCAGCCACGGTGGTCCGTGTGGCTCAGCCACACGAGGGTGGTATACCCCAGACTTCCTGCCGCCGCTGGCACCTGGTTAGACTTCCACTGAAGAACAACAAGAACAAGCAATATCACCACTACAGTCGGTGATCGTTGCTACCCACGATACTCGAGTATTTTCCTTTTCCACCTGTGAATCCAACACTGATCAGTGGTTAACCTCACAGTAACCACTACTGCGATATACTGCAGATCAGCAAGGTATTACAGAAGAGACTGTTGCGACGCCTCACCACGGGATCCCTTCAGTGCTAATCACGAAATCGCCGGCCCTCCACAACCCGCATTATCGTCAACCTTTCTTCCGCAACTACGTTGCCGTTGATAAGGGCGTCTATCACGCTGTCGTCGATCGACCTCGCAGCCGAATACCCTTCCGTACGACAAGTGCCGTTGGAGAAGTCCGTTGCTCATCACGATAATTCAACTTCGTCAACTTCGTCAATTTCGTTGCCCACAACGAATTTCCTCACGATACTTTTTTTTTTTTGACCTTCTTCAACCCACAAATTCACGAAGATTCGCGGAAGTACGCGAAAAACACCTACTGTACCTTCCTTACCTTCTACACTTTTACGCGATATCCACGCTGTGGCAAGGCCGCAGGCTCCTACTTGCTATCTCTGCGACTACTCACTTCACTAATCCTCCTCCCTTAACTACGCTACACCATGACGGAATCGCAGACGTCACAGGATCTGCCCATCCCGTACGGCTTTGGCCGACTTATCGACCTAACGGTATGGGGAAGCAACGATGAGATCCTTTTTAGCGAGCGCGATAATAGGAAGGTATGTACACACATTGCTTACTCCATCGCTACGTGGTTACAAGAACAAATCTTTGGTCGCGAATTATTCGCCGCCTTCCAACGCGACTTCGATGGATGGGACGAAGAATTCTTCCACGCGGCAGGATCAAGGGCACTCAGCCTGCTCCGCGATCACCTCCTCTTCAATGGTGTCTATATCCCTAAGACCAGGGACAAGGTGGCTCCTAGGCTGGTGGAAGTTCTGGATCGTGACACCTTTCATACATGGACGGATGAGGAAGTCGAAGAGATGCGTCATCATTCCCCCTACTTTAACCGTCTATTAGATGAGGATCCACGTATCCTCGAGGATATCCAACGACAATATATCAGCCCGCAACAACGAACGGCTATGAGGGAGAAGCAATATCAACAGCAGATGGAGATTGAGAGACAGCAAAGGAAGAACGAGAAGGAGAAGGAGGACCGTATGAATGAGATTCTTGCCAAGGAGCTGGCAGCCAGGGCAACCAGGGGAGTTGACAACCCTCCTCTACCAGAACGACCAACCCGACAGAAGCCGACTCCTCGACAGTCGCCAGCTCAATCGGTCCACTCAGTATCTCGTCGACCTACCCCAATTACACGCCCATTATATCCTACGATAGCACCTCCCACTACGCAATCTCGTCATATCTTACCAGCGCCCCCGCTGTCGCCGAGACCCGCGATGATGGAGCACCCTCCACAACACCTTCCGCCTCATGACGAAGACTTCTACGTCGGCCCACAAGGCCACAACTTCCCTCTACAGGACTATCCCCCTGTCACCACAGGCTTCCCACCACAACCTCCTATCGACAACGTTGCTACACGAAGCAGCAAGCCAACCTCTAGGCAACTTTCCGATCTCGCCAAGCTGATACCTGACGAAAACAAGTACGGTGGCGAGATGTATGATGTATTGGACATTAAGTTAACGAACTTCCGTGATAACTGCGAGAAAGTCGATATCGAGGAGGACCAACTGGGCTACGCCTTCTCTATCATGCTCCGCGGCAAAGCTTCCACATTTTATCTTCAACGAATCTGCGGCAGGGGCCCACGTGACTTTTTCTCGATGGTTCGACAAATCAGGAACCACTTCGAGAATGAGGAAAGTCAGCAGAATTACCTCTCCCAGTGGCGAGAGACTAACTTCAATCGCATCGCTCAAGAGCACCCCGACAAGACGAAGATACAGGTCCTTGAGGCCCTCATCGAGAAGCTCACAGTCATTCAACGAGCTCTCCCCGCTGTGTACCAGTCTGACGAGGTCCTGCGAGGCCAGCTTGTCAATGCTTGCTCCGGGGTCCCAGAGTGTACTTTGTGCCTGTATAACCCCTCCCGGACATTGGAAGGCGTCTGCAACCAGCTTCGATCAGCCGTCAGCACCGCTATCCGCATGAAGAAGGACCACCAGTATGTTACTGAACCATTCAAGCAATACTGGGTCGACCGCACTTACCGCGGCCGAGGCCGAGATGATCGATACGGCAACAGCCGTGGCCGGGGCACAAATCGACCTCATAACCGCGGCCCGCCAGACCGCAAGTCTGACCGCCATTGCTATGTCTGCAAAAAGCCAGGCTGCTGGTCAACGAAACACTCGCTGGACGAAAGACGGCAGGCATACGATCGGTACAAAAGCAATAGATACGTGCAGGATACCTCGTCAACGGGATACGGTAACTTCCTTGCCGAGTACGAAGGCTTCGAATCTCTTGACGACGACGATGGAGAGGAAGATATCCGCCAATACCTCCAGACGACCCCTGCGCCCACCAACAACGATGATGAGGAGGCTGATGACAGTGATGCCTTCCTCGTCAGCACCGCCTTTTTCAACAAGAGCAACTTCAGCGGCAAGGCTATTTTGTCACAATTAGCTGACCAATCGGTCTTCCATCAATTGACTAAGGCAGATCTCGGCGACCAGACTGCCAAGGAAAACGCGGCTGTCTTCGTACTTGACCGATACTCAGCAGAAGTCTTCCAAGGGATATTACCAGATACGGGAGCAGCCGGAGTTTCCACTGCAGGAACTCCCAAGCTCTTGCCCTTCGACGAACCTTTCCATCAGTAGAAATCGACACTTCGCAAGCGGGAAAGCAAATGTCCGCTTCGGCGGAGGCGATCTTCTGCCCTCAAGCGGCACCATCACGGTCCCCACCCCGTTCGGACATATCGAGTTCTACGTCGTACCCGTCAATACCCCATTTCTGCTCTGCCTCGCCGATATGGACCGTCTGCGGATTCGCTTTGACAATCTCGCCAATACACTGCAACAAGGCAACGTTGTTGTGCCTGTTGTTCGTAAATGGGGCCATCCGTGGCTGCTACTTGGCCCGCCTGAGCAGAGCCTCGCCTGGAACCACCTCACGGACGTGGAATTACGCAGACTTCATCGTCGCTTCGGCCACCCATCTGTCCAACGACTTCACAAGGTTCTTCACGAGGCTGGCCATGACGTTGAGACCGCCGCAATCGAGCAATTGACGAAGTACTGCCATCAATGCCAAATGCACAGCAAGTCGCCCGGCCGATTCAAATTTTCCCTTCGCGACGACTGCTCTTTCAACTACGAAGTCATCGTTGACGTTATGTACCTCGATGGCGATCAACCCGTCCTTCACGTTATTGACCTCGCGACTTCCTTCAACGCGGCCCACTTTCTCAAAGACATCTCTGCGAAGACTACGTGGGAAGCTCTTCGAATTTGCTGGATTGACGTGTACCAGGGACCACCTGACTGGATCGTCGCTGACGCCGGCCGCAACTTCACAGCAGCCGACTTCCGCCGCGAAGCTCGCGCAATGTCTATTGAAGTCAAGATCATCCCTGTCGAGGCACATCACAGCATTGGAAAGGTTGAAAGATACCACGCAGCTCTGCGACGAGCCTACGATGTTATCCGCAAGGAATGCCCACTGACTACACGAGAGTCATCGCTACAAAGCGCGGTCAAGGCAATCAATGATACTGCCGGCCCTGACGGCATCGTCCCTACCCTTCTCGTCTTTGGCGCATACCCACGTATGACCGACGATTCCGCCCCATCTCCCGATATCGTCAAACGCGCCGCCGCCGTACGCAAGGCAAGCAACGAGTTACGCAAGCACTTTGCCAAGCGGCAAGTGAATGAGGCCCTGGCAGCACGAAACGGCCCTGATACAACCGCGCTGAAGTCACTTACAATTGGATCGTAAGTCCGCGTCTGGCGCGAGAAAGAAGGATGGAGTGGCCCTTATCGCCTACTTGCTACTGACGGTGAGGAGTGCACCGTTGACGTCAACGGACCGCGTAACTTCCGATCAACCGTTATCAAGCCCTATTACGCAGACCCTGACGAAGATGTTCCTCATAATACCGACAAAAGCGACGACCACGCAGAGGATACTATTGTCGTTGCTACTCCCCCGAGGAACCCTGTCGCAGCTGAGACTACTCCATACCCTCGTCGTACCCGCGGCCGACCGCGCGAGAACTTCGTCGCTGACGCGCTTTTACAGGAGACTGACGTACCTGATAACCCGTCACTCCTTCCCTCCTCCTCTACCTTTCTCTCTGCTAAAGAAGAATCCGATAAGGCCCTCGCAAAGCAACTACGCGATAAAGGGACGATAACCACCTCTGGTGAGCCCTTCGAACTATCTACGAAGACCGAGATAGATAGCCTTATCGCACAGGGGGTATTCGAATTCGTCACCCTCGACCTTGCTAAGCACGATAGCCGTATCTTCAAATCACGTATCGTTAACGAGGTAAAGGGCAAGAATACCGATAAGCCCTACGAGAAGTCACGCCTTGTTATCCAAGGATATGCTGATGACGGGAAAGAAGCTATCCTTACGCAGTCACCGACCATACAACGAGCAAGCCAGCGACTGATACTTGCACTTGCTCCGTCCCTCCTGCGTGACAACTATCAGCTCTGGCTTCGCGATATCACGCAAGCATACGTCCAGTCAACTTCACAGTTAGATCGCACTATTTACGCACGACTACCTACCCAGATTCGCGATGACTACCCTCCGAATACGATTATGAAAGTCGTCAAGCCACTATATGGCATTGCCGAAGCTGGCACTCATTGGTGGGCAACGTACAACCGCCACCATAGAGAAAGTCTCGAGATGAGTACCTCATCATACGACCCGTGTCTTCTGCTGTCATCTATTGATAACCCTCACTTCGGCCTCATTGGCATGCAAACAGACGACACTATCGGCCTTACAGACCTGCCCTTCTCTGCGAGAGAGGATGAAGAACTTGTAAAGGCTGCTTTCACCGCTAAGGCAAAGCAGTATCTCTCAATCAATGAGCCACTCATCTTCAACGGCGGCATCGTATCACTAACCTCAGCAAAAGACACTTCGATCGTCCTACGACAGAAAGGGCAAGGGAAAAAGCTGCAACTCGTCGACGGAGATTCGCCCACAGCCCAACAAGATTATGTCCAGCAACGTGCCCGTGGGGCATATATCGCCTCAATCTGCCAGCCCGAAGCATGCTACGATCTGTCAGCCGCCGCCCAGCACAAGGAGCCCGATGCTGAAGCCATCAAGAGCCTCAACCGACGGTTACAGTGGCAGATGAATTCGCTAGACCGCGGTCTAACTTTCATCCCGCTGAACCTGGCAACCGCGAAGCTCTTTGTCTTTGTTGACGGCTCTTTCGCCAATAACCACGATCTTACCTCACAGCTCGGCTTCCTCGTTATCCTTGCTAACGAGACTATTGACGATGATAACGGTACTTTCACGATTGACGGCCATATTGTCCACTTCTCCTCCACGAAGTCGAAGCGAGTGACGCGCAGCGTGCTTGCCTCTGAAGTCTACGGCATGGTTGCCGGCGTAGATATGGCCTACGCTATCTCATCAACTCTTGCAATGGTTACACAAAAACTTGGCAACCCAACCATCCCTACGACTGCCTGTACCGACTCATACTCGCTATACGAATGCCTCGTTAAACTGGGCACCACCCAGGAGAAACGCCTGATGATCGACATCATGGCACTTCGGCAGTCATACGAGCGACGGGAGCTCTGCGAAGTCAGATGGATCCACGGCGATGATAACCCCGCTGACAGCTTTACTAAATCGTCGCCCAATCGAGCCCTCGAGGGCATTATTGACACCAACCACGCGGTCATTAGAATGGAGGGATGGGTTACACGTACGTGAAGGAGGGATAGAGAGGAAGATTCGGCTAATCCAAGTGGATAATCGGCCGACTATTGTTATTTCTCGGTACTGTATAATTAGGTCTTGATTCTGTCCTATTCCCGGCTTTTGCAAGAGAGAAAAGTTGCCAGTGTTGGAATAGGCCTACATTAGGCAGCAGGAGGTTGCTGCCGCGGTCCGTTCCAGCCACGGTGGTCCGTGTGGCTCAGCCACACGAGGGTGGTATACCCCAGACTTCCTGCCGCCGCTGGCACCTGGTTAGACTTCCACTAAAGAACAACAAGAACAAGCAATATCACCACTACAGTCGGTGATCGTTGCTACCCACGATACTCGAGTATTTTCCTTTTCCACCTGTGAATCCAACAATTTCTGTAATGAAGCAACCCAAGTGCTCGTGATCTCCATGATTGAGACCAAATTGGATGTCTTCCACCGTTTCGGACGGCTGCAACTGTTGGCCGAGCCGCGTCAGAGCTTCTGGTGTCGTAACTCCGAGGTCCTTGGTTGCCTGAATGATGATATCGAGATCTTCTTTGGTCAGGAGTCCTTTCCCGTCGAGCAAGTCTTCAATTTCTTTGACCTCAGAGGCGATCTTAGAATTTGTAATCATTGTTCTAAGAAGGCCTATCCGGCTATCTCTGGTGGTTCCATTTGTAACGTTCGAGTAAGTTCGAGGTCTTGTAAAGGACAGTCGTTCGAATATGTGGGATATTGTGATAGCCCGAAACTCTCTGGAGGTCAATGAGAGTCTGAATACGCCTGAAGTGTCATCTTTCTTCAATTCCAGACAAATCTGGGAAAGAATCTCTGTCGGGAGATACTGGAGGCGTATCATTGACGTTATCATTGGGGACTTAGTGAGCGGTTGAAACCCTTTGCGGCCTGGATCTTGGGCTGAGAAAATTTAGGTGGCTCATGGAGCAAGGCAGCAGAATCATGAAAAGGAATAAATTTGAACGCAATGAATACTAAAGCTTGGGTGTCATAAATCACTGACTATGACATTCTTTAATCTTGGTCCTTGTTGGCCCGCCGCTGCCTATTCGACCCCGCCACGTGAGTCGTGAAAACCAGGTCATAAAAACCTCTCAATCAATTACAGACGCTCGTTTCTCACAGGCTTTTGGTGAGTCTTCCCAAAGAACACGATCCTACTTCCTAATGAGTAATTGACAGTCAAGATGGCCCTAAGCTAGGTGAAAGCTGCTTCCGGTGCTTCTTGAACACTCCTGATATGCCTTTCGCTCATCTCTGATCCTCCTAGCATGCTGAATTCTGACATGGGGAGGTATCTCCTAAAAAAGACGCTGACGCTGAAAACAAGATTAGGCATCCACTCCTCATACGCAAATGATTCAATGGTATCCATATCAACCTAACTCGGAAAGAATCCATTCCTCTTCAGTCATTGTCTCGATGGAAACCGGCAAACCCCCATCATCCAAGTTGACATAAACACAACCGTTTAACCTAGAAACATCGAATCTAAAAGCAACACCAAGTGAAACAAACTGTTCCCTGACATGCCGGAGCCGGTCCAGGAGGTCTTGAGATAATGGTCCATCGAAAAGCAGTTTGTTGTGAACTTGCTGTAACTCGGGGCAGCGATCCTTGAGATGGTGCGCAAGGGCGGGTAGCGCATCCTCAAACGGCTCCGGGCTCTTGTAGGTGAGACGCAAGTTCCTTACAGCCCTTGGTAGAAGGTTTATGAATATTTGTTCCGTCTCACTTTCTTGATCCTCGCCTGTTGACTCCTTGCCTGTGTCTTTCCATAAGCACACACTGTCCAGCTGAAGATTGACCAAGGCCGTGAAATGCTTTAAAGACACTATAAGCCCAGAGTTAGGCTCATTTGAATCTGTAGGCAATGGCTCCTGTCCACGGCCTGTCCATGTGTCGAAGTGAAAGTTCAAGGAGAGGCCCTCCAACTGTGTTTCAAAGCCCCCCAAAGCATCAACTACATCTTGCGGAGCACATCTCTCGTCTCTGAGAGAATAGTAGTCGTAGTCAAAGTTCGTCAAAGCGGGACACCCTGTCAAGACGGTCCTGAGCTCAGGGCCCGTAAAATTTGATGAGGTTAATCGGAGATCCTTGACCCTATCGAAGTGCCAGGTTTCCATTGGTGCAGTTAATCCCTGAATCCGGAGTGTTTGGAGATTGGGAGCCATCGCAGGTAGCGTTCTGAGGAAGATTCCGGGCCCAAATAGCTGCAAGCGGACGTTTCTCAGCACAGGAAACATCGGCTGACGGTTGAAAGAGGATGAAGCCTGGACCATCCCTAACACTTCGAGGGCATTCCGGTAGCGGCCTATACTATAGTCTAGTGTGACAATATTGGGCGTATGTGCTATAATGAGTTCTGCGAAGAATGCGCGCACAGCGACGAGGCGTTGCATATCGTCATCACTGAGGGCCCAGCCACGCCTACCCTCAAGAGCTGGGTCAGCACCGCCGAAGCGGAGTAATTCTGGAATCGGGACATCGAATTTTGAGGCTGTCTGAAGGATGAAGTCCATGTCTTCCTCGTCTATGCTAGGCACGACGCCCCGTGATGATGGACAGTAGACATTAGAGACATGCGCGGCGATCGATGGATTGGTGACTATGGTGCGTAGTAAACTCGCTCGGGTATCACGAGTCGGACGACGACTAGATCTTCGAGGTCGACGTCTCCCAGTACTTGTAGCGATGGTAATGTGTTTGAATATGACGGGGACTGATATTGCCCGCAGGTACTTCGAGACCTGAGAGATTGACAAGAGTCCCGCACGGTCGTCTCCAAACGAGGTACAGATTGCAGTCAACACCTCTGGAGGGAGGTTTTCGAGCTTGGTGGTTGGCATTATGTGTGAGCGTAGTATTTCTACGCCTACAACGGCAGTAGAAATGAGACAGGCTAAGATCGCTGATTGAGAGCACTGGCTGTCAGCTTGGAGTTTGTAAGGTTGGAAATTGAGCGACCAGCCTGTTGAAGATTGCTGCCTTTCTACCCCACTTCGGTAAGCAGCTAGCCGTAGTTGGACAAATTTAGCTCCCAAGTGCAACTTGAAGACGTGATGTAACGCTGATTCCATGTCGTCTTCTTAGTATTGACTGAAATTTCCCCGACTGGCTATTACACTGGCGGGTTTTGTGCGAAGGTGGCACAACTGGAGCATGCTTTCGCAACTTTGAAGTAACATCCTTGGTTGGAGTGCGCATGTATCAACGGTCTTCGAGTCTCGAGCTTCAGACGACTTGCATTTTCAGTCATAACTTGGGATTTCCAAGTCTTGAAAAGAGTCAACACTTGGTCAAGTTAAGTGGAAAGAAATGTGGTATTTATTTCAAGAATCTGATTATCATTTTAACTTGAAATAGACTTGAAGTTATGGAGAGATTGTTTCCTGACGCCGACTCCGTGTATATCCGAACTCCTCTTCCTTGTCCCCAGACTCCATTATTCCCAATCCTTTTCTACTTTCCATGCATCGCTGGGTCTTAATCCAGCAGCACCAAAATCACACCCTCGATGACCCCATTTTCGTCGGAAGGTTTCCCGTCCGGCCTCAGTCATGACGTCTATCCCAATCTGGAATCCAAGAGCATCATATGAATAAGGCTCCCGTGGATCTCCTCCCCTCTGTCCTAACTGCCAAGTATTCCTCTCCCGATCCGCATGCTTATGATTAAACATATCCTGGCTGAGCCTGTGCAGCCTCCTGAAAGACGTCAAAGAATCAACAGCCGTCGTCGAATCCTCCTCCGCGCCACCAGCCGCATCATCCACCGGCGGCCCCGTCTCATCCAATTCCGGAACAGCGTCAGGCACCGGCAGGCTCCGCTTGTCGTCTTCCAGCGGGACCTCGCCTAAAACCTCGCTCTGTGGTGGATTCGGGTCCGTGAAGCCAAAGCCCTCGGGAACCTCCCCCTCGCGGTACAGGACGCGTAAGTCATCCAGCACTGACGCAACATCCTGAACGATACCCGCCTGCGCTTCTTTGATGCTCCATCCCGCCTCCTCGAGCCGCCAATGCATGTCGCAGTCCGTCATGTAGTACGGGATGAACGTGTCGAAGCCACCGACGTCTTCGTAAGCGCGCGGATTCACCAGGGCGAGGTGGTCGTATGCGAAGAAGCGTGCGCCCCACTTGTGATCTGATCGCATCGTCTCATTCAACTCCTTGACGGCCAGCTCGTAAATGGTCTGGTACTCGGGCGTGCCGACTGCTCCAGAGACTCCTGGAATTCCCTCCTCGCTGGAGAGGACGAATGCGTCCATGTGGCTCCAGAAGTAGTATGACCACGGCTTATCCTTTGCAACCGTGATGAAGAAGTTTTGGAGCTGCGCAAAGTTGAGCAATACCGGCGTGCGCATGACGTGAACGCCGAGCATGTGGAGCTGGGTGTAATTGAGATAGAACGGATTTTGCAGCGTCAACCGGCCTCGGGCATTTGAATCGTGGACGCCGGTGTTCTCCACGACGTAGATCTGCTCCGCCGGCCATCCAGCGGTGATATAACCGACAACTGTCTGCAGCAGCATCGGCCAGCTCCGCGTGAAGCCAATCATCAGTGGCGGCGCGGTCGTCAAGGAGTATTTGTGGTAGACGTTGGGCTTCTCAGGCCTATTCCACGATGGCACCGGCGGCGGCATGCCCGAAGAGAGAAGCGGGAAGGGATCTTTGACGGGCGGTGGTGTCCATGTCGGCTGCGGCTTGTACTTGGGCTTCGGGGTCGGTGACGATGTCAGGCTGTTGATCCTGGGTGCATGTGGTTTTGCATCTGCCACCTTTTTCATCACTATGTATCCGAACTCGGTTTGGACGAAGAAGAGTAAGAGGCATATTGCCAACACGACGTAGACGATGGGGACATTCCGACTTGATCTCGGGCCTGTCATTGACAGCATCCGAGGTGCTGGCATCGACAACATCGTGAGTTTGAGGCGAGATAATACCCAGATTGTCGAATTCGATGGTGAAGAAAGGGCAAAAATGAAATCGCCGTGGGGGAATCTAATGATCGCTAGGCGTTTGGTGGGAAGAGGGCTAGACGGGTCGAACTCGCAGCTAGTTGCTCTAGTGTCTCGTAAGACACGACGGGTGACGTGTTCGCGCCGCCTGAGATAAGTGATACGAAAAGGACGGAAATGCGGCAACAAAGGCGTTGCGCCTCATTCGTTGGCTGAAAACAAAAAGCAGAAACGTTCCCGTTTGTGGGCTGGTGACGTCGGTCTGAGGGTCGGTCTGTTTGATGTCGTGATGCTTTCGTGTAAGGGAGCAAGGCGGTTTTGCTCTCCTTCCCGGCTTCTTACACGGGGGTTGCACAATGATTTGTTTGCGTTACACGCGGGTTGACGTCTCTTAACAGAGTGTCGACAAGTGGGCAGAGATTTCCTGTGCGATGGGATCAAATTAATTGAATAGTTGTTATACGTTTAATCTCGAAGAATCGAATACAACGAGGTGGTGAACCTGGTGTGGGAGGCCGTCATGAAAAGAGTTGGGATAACATGATCGAAGGAGCGTCTCTGAGAAGCATGGGACGAGGGAAACAACAAGCGAAGTAGATATTAACAGCTGACAATACTTAAGAGAAGAAAAACAGTTCGCTTGTCTTACGAGCGGACGGAAAACGGAAACCAACAGAATCACCCCCTTCTCGGCAAAGGTTACAAACAAGAGGCTCCGGGCGGTAAGCAAACAGACTTTAAAGGTTTGGGGGAAATGTTTGTAGACGTCACCGCCACACCAACTGCACTCACCAAAACTCACCAGAGTCACCACTTCCAACGCCAACGCTAAGCTCCAACACCAAACCAGACTGCTAGCGGAGAGCTAACATCAGATATTTCAAAATACCAGAGCCACGCGTTTCTCTCACCCCCCCCCTCCCCCCAAAGCCCCGGGGTTGGACCTTACTGCGTAGCGGGTGACGCTTTGACGGGCCCGATCGACCGACGACGGGGGCACGTCCCCCCCAAGCTACAGGCTACGAGGATGAAAGGGGCTCTTCGGCGGGGGCCCGAAGTGGGAGGACGTACGGCTCTAGTGGGCGCTACCGTCTAATCTTAGAAAAGCTTGTTTTCGATCGTCACTAGGTTGTCCCTCGTCGAGAGGGCGGACTGAAAATGGTCTGGCTACGAACGTTGGTCCCAGGTCTTGCCAGATGATTGGGAAGCTGGGTCCGTTGGAGTGAAGTTGTGCACCCATTTTTTCACCTTTCTGTTTCCTATAGTTTGAGATTGTCACAAGTGGCTTCCTTTTTGGAGAAGGCTTCTCGGCTGTTCTGTCGCACTCAACGGCACACGAGAACGAGGCGATTCTGAGGCGAATGAGAGTTAACTGAGAGTTCTACGAGGCTTCAGCTACGTGTAGATCGTTGCGAATCCTGACCCGGGCCAGAATATCTCTATACAGTGGACCAGTTACAAGGGAAAGTAACTGCGACTCGAAGACAAACCTCAGTCATAAAGTGTCGTTCGCTCTTTACAAAACTCCCGTGAACCCGTTTAATGATCAGCCGTTGTGGCGTTCGCCACCTGACCTCAACGTTTAAACTCAACGGTTCACATTTGAGTAGAGCCCGACGGTGTGTGTAAATTGAGGCTGCCTGCGGTGGTAGTTGAAAAGTATACCTTAGTTACGTTAAGTAACAACTTGAGGCGGAAAGCTCATTGAAGAGACAAATTGACAATACTTTCGCGTCTGGATTCAACATTACTGCGGAACCATCGGTGCTCAACAAATGGTGAGCAAGGTCGAGGGGTATCAAATATATTAAGAGTCAAACAATCGCTAAAGAATTCTACTACTCGTACATATAGCAAAGCGGTGCCCCAGAAACCGTGTTCATCAGGTTCTTGATCTTCACTGGCGTGTTGAGAGGCGTAAGGTCAATATCATCCTCGACGCTGCCCTCGGGGCTCTTTGGGTTATCCTGCAAGGTCATTGTACCAAATACTCCCTGGCGATTCTTGAAGTCCAGGTTCTGCCAGATCCAGTATACACGGTCGACCTGGGCCTGGTGGACCCAGAACGCCGGGTCGCCGGGCGCAATGACACCGTCTGCCCCTGGATCCCCGCCAATGATGAAGTGGCCACCACCGTGGATCCCCAAAGTGTTGGGAAAGAAGCGGTCATCTCCTTGTAATAGCGAAGAGAAGTTCTTGATGCTTGTTTGTTCGAGGATGAGAGTTGTCGTATTTCTGAACGAGTTGAACCGCTGGGCTATGTCCTTGTTCAGGTCTCGCTTTAGACATCTAGGTAGGTCTTGGAGGGGATCCGTGACATTGAAGGGCTTCGTGGTGCCATATTGCGCAAGTGAGGCGGGTCCAATGTGTACAGTCATGTTCTGGAAGGGGCCTGACTTGATGCACCCGCCTCCGGAACCGGGCTTAAGTTTGATGGTGTTGTTTGAGAAGGGCTGGCGTAGTTGTAGACCATCGTGGGGAATGAACTCGCCGTCGCTTCCCAGCGAAAGCTCAGTGCCGTCAAAGACTGGTGAGGCGGCTGGGTTGTTTATGTCGAGTCCCCATTCCCAGTATGGAAGGGCACCTATTCAAAAGTGAGTTTCGCTAACGTTGTCATGGCAAAGAACTTTTTTTGGAGGGCATACCTTTATATCTGCATTGTGTGCGCAATCTCTGCTCAAAACTGGCCAAGTAATAACGATGCCAAGCAAAGAATGAGGCCTAGAAGGATTGTTAGACGAACCATCCACGAGCCTTCGACCATAGTGTGTGTCATAGCAGACACTTACTGTCAAATGTGTGTTGCGAAAGCTGGTGTAGTGGACGGCTACAAAATCGTCGTACAGAGACTTTGCCATCGGTACTCTCTTAGGATCCGACACCACCGGCTCGTTCATAATGCATTGGACGGCAGTTATAAAGGACTTCCTCTCCGTGACAGTCAACTTCCTCCTGGGGGCAAGTTAACAGTCGTCTCTGGGAACTCAAGAGGGGACAATTCTGTTCCTCACCATTCTTTTCTCATTAACACCCCTTCTCCTTGACACAGTCTCGTACCATTTGTGGTAATGTTGGATATTGGATGTTTTTGTGGCACATTAATCCTCCGCGCATTTTCGAGGGCTCTCTTATTCAGTTTCGCCAGGGTCGTTCCATTATTAATCTCCTCTTCGGTGAACTCAGGCTTTGCCTTTGGTGGATTCGGCTTCGGTTTAGGCGCTGGCGGTGCGATGGGCACCGGTGCCGGAGGCGCTTTTGGTATCGAAGTTGGAGTTACCGTTGGCTTTGGCTTAGGGCCCGGTGGTACGATTGGGACAGGCGCAGGTGGAGGCTTTGGTCTCGGCCCTGGAGTTGTAGACGGCCTCGGTATTGGAGCCGGCAGCGGGGCTAACGTATCGGGTTTCTTCTTGTGATGAGCGTTGACGGGCGTAGTGAGTGTAAGAAGGACGATAATAACCCCAAACACCCAGGCCCAGCGCTTGCAGGAAGTCATCACGCCTAGCGAGGAGGATACTGAGGGACGCTGGGCAAGATTCACCGTGAACGAAAGATGATGGAATCAGGAAGACATCACTAATCAGTCCACTAGGAGAAGCAGGCTGAAGGTTGGGGTAGGGAAGATTGACGATAAGAAGACAAGAGCGCAGATCCTGGCCATCGGCTAGTCTCACGCCGCAGAGACTAGCAAAGTAAGGGAACTACCTTATTGCGATGAGACAGAGGTTATTTGTGCATGGATGGGTAGGCTGACCCCGTCTAAGCCTGAGAACTATTACCTATGATCTGGTGAACGGGTGTCATTGGCTGTGCGTAGCGGTGGGAGACTCGGTTGGCAAACGTTATAATAACCTTTTGCTCCCCGCACAAGGGCCATGCCTGGAGATGATCGCTTCGGCAGCGGCACCAATGGCCTGGTACCATGTCGCTTGCCCGTTGACAGCTGCCGGTATTGCATAGTGACTTTCGGCAGAGGGGAGCGGCGTGGGTTCGATCGGCAGACTTCTCGGCCGCGCTGGTTTCCGAGGGGATGGATGGTGAAGGGGCTGAAGCTACGGGGCCAACTGAGAGCTAAGCTCTTGCGGTGTTCATCGTAGCTTTGGATTCATGAAAGCACTGTGAAGTCAGTCCCTTAGGACTTGTAGTCGCTGGAAAGAGCAAATTGGGCGGAAGTGCGTGTGACCAGGGTTGTCTCGTCGCCCGCATAAGGTGAACTGAGTTATTGCCAAAGATCGTTCTGCGCTTGCTCGCAACATGTCTCGGCAACACGAGATGTCTGCCCGATTCTGGAAGAGTGAAAGAGTGCCCTTTCCCGCGAGACTTGACATCTTGGCGAGAGTTTGTGCCCAAGCTATCGCGAGGTTCGGGCGGCAAATCTAAATGCCTCTCAGACTGCTTGAGCGAGCTCATGATCTTGAAGAATTCGGCGGGAGAACAAAGTTGATGTGACTAGAACAATAGACCACATCAGCCGGCGACGGCAGGACGGCAGCGCCATGTGTAAAGTGGGATGATGAAGACCCGAGCGCAAACAGATGCCCAGAGCGTAGGAACGATGGGCGACCCCCGGTGAGGTTGCGAGGCAATCATGCCCGGCTGAGGTATAGAATACTGGGCATCTTGGATAGTTCATCCTTCTTTGCCTTTGCAGAATATGAAGGCGGAAGAGTCGGGCAGGATAAGGTAGAGTTTCTGGGAAGGTGTTGTTTATTACAAATTAGACCAGATGCACCCTTGGACGCCCGTCTCGGTCTCCGTCCATGTAATATGGGCGCCTTCGTATCCCGGAATGGGACACAATTGATGGAGCAGACGAAGAGTTTACGCATCAAAGGCAGCCCTAGCAGCTTTCTCTAAGTTGTCCGGCCGAGATTCGAGGAACCACATCCGAGGCGGCATCTTGGAACCCCGTTAGGTTACTCGTGGACCGAAGCGGTGACTTTCGCATGTCGCGGCAAACGCAGCCTCGATACGATTCGTGATGACCTGCATTGTATGCATATTGCATGTTGCATATAGGTAGTCAGGCACCTTGCCGCATTGAGGCGATCTCGGGGTGGAGTTGGGCGTCCATTTCTCAGCTCGAGATGTGTTGTCTTGTCACGAGTTGAAGTTGGCGGTCAGCGCCTGAGGTGTCTCACCGCACCCCGGAGATTTAACGGGAGGTGCAGGTACCAAACTTGGGAAGCGGCGGGGGCACGTCAATTGGACCCACTTGTCGGATGCGGCGCGAACTTTTCGCCTAAATGTTTAGCGAGCGCGTTTTAGTGCTCACCTTTCCAAATTTCCAGCGGTGATTCACCTTGATTCACTGAGGAACTGCAGTCACTCGCCGTGGTGTTGACTCATCATTGGGCACGGCCCCCATCGCCCCCAAAAATGAGTCCAACGACCCCGCCACGCCCGCCACCGCTGATAAGATAAAAAATTCGAAAATCCCGGGCGACGATGGAGGGGCAGAGGGGTACTCAACATCCACGTTCTAAGCAACTGCTTCTACCTTGCCCTGAACAGCCTCGCGCCAACACCAAGCCACCGACAACATACAGGATAAGCGCCGCCAATTCAAAGTTGAAGCGCTCAATATGGCTTCCAACGAGTCTCCCGCTGCTCCTCATGAGCCCCCTTACACATACCGCCCCAACCAGGGCTACGAACAGACCGAAGACATCCCCGCCGAGCTGAGAACCGTGCCCCACGATGCCGCAGGCCAGGAAGAAGAAGACGACGACTTGGAGGACGTCTTTGGCGAGGACGAGGAGATTGACGATGAGGACTGGACCGCCGATTCTGGCGATCTGACCAAGTCCTACAACCGGCAGCGCATGTTCAACAGCAACGACAATGCCGTCCCACGTTCCAACGTCCAGAGACCGACCGCGAACACCAAGTCAAGCGTCGACGACCAAATCACAGCACTCTCCAAGCATGCTGCCAAGATCAGGCTGGATAGCGTCAAGGACACCGACGAGAAGAGCAAGGACAAGGCGGACCGCGCAACGAGCGAGCAAGTTCTGGATCAGCGCACGCGCATGATCCTGCTGCAGATGATCAACCGTGGCATCGTCAGTGAGATTCATGGTGCCATCAGTACCGGAAAGGAGGCCAACGTCTACCACGCCATTTTGCACCCCGAGGGCGACAGTCCCAATGTGCAGCGGGCCATCAAGGTGTACAAGACATCGATTCTCGTCTTCAAGGATCGCGAGAGATACATAGCAGGCGAGCACCGTTTCCAGAAGGGGTTCGACAAGAGTAGCAACAGGAAGATGGTCAAGCTGTGGGCCGAGAAGGAGTTCCGTAACTTGAGGAGAATACACGCCGCGGGCATCCCGTGTCCGGAACCCATCAGCCTGAAGCTGCACGTTCTGGCCATGGGTTTCCTCGGTGACAAGAAGGGATGGGCGTATCCCCGTCTGAGAGACGCAAACCTGACCGGGGACGATGTCGATGAGCAGTTGAGGGCACTGTACGTCCAGCTTCTGGGTCTCATGCGCCGGATATACCAGATTTGCAGGCTCGTTCACGCCGATTTGAGCGAGTACAACATTTTGTACAATGCTGGAAAGCTGTACATCATTGATGTATCCCAGAGTGTTGAGCCCGACCACCCGCGGGCGTTGGAGTTCCTGCGCATGGATATCAAGAACGTTGGCGACTTCTTCAGGAGAAAGGGAGTCGACACGCTCAGCGACCGCAGCATCTTTGACTTCATCTCTGCGGCGGACGGTCCTGTCGAGGAGCCCGCCCTGGGTGAGGCTATCGAGCAGCTGTACACCAGCAGGCCCGCCGACGACGAGGAGGCTGCTGCGGAGCAAGAGGTTGACAACGAGGTTTTCCGGAAACAGTACATTCCCCAGACACTCGAGCAGGTCTACGACATTGAGAAGGATGCCGCCAAGATTGGGCAGGGTGATGGTGACAAGCTTGTCTACAAGAACCTGTTGGCCGACGCTGTCGTCAAGGACGAAGAGAAGGAGGAGGAAGAGGAGGAAGAGACGTCAGAGGACGAATCAGGCAGCGGAGCTTCTCTGGCCAGCGGCGAAGAGGACGACTCCAAGTTTGACAAGGGTCGGCCTAGGGGGCGTAAGCATGAGGACAAGGACGAGAAGAAGGTGAGTCTCTCTGCGTGGAATACGAGATATAGCGTTACTGACACAGCACAGCAACACAAGCAGGCGGTCAAGGAGGCCAAACGCGAGAAGCGCAAGGAGAAGATCCCCAAGAGCGTCAAGAAGAAGCTCGTCTCGGCGTCGTCAAGAAAGAAGCACTAAGCTGCTCAATCGTGGACGAAAACAAGCGAGCCGATCTGGGTTCCAGCGAGGATAGGTCTGGTGGCGGAGGATATATGTAAGGGGCCTTGTGTGTACGCAATCGGGTGATGAAGACTCGATCGGCCACGGACGGGCGGGATGCTGTGTTCTGGCTCTCTAGCCACAACCACTTCTCGCCCGTCATCACTGGCTCTAGAATGCCCCCAGAGGTTTTCACACGCCTCGTGGGTATCGTGATGATCAAGGAGAGCTCTGACGATTGCTACCGTTCTGCGGCGGTGTTGGAACTTGGGAATGGAAGAGTATAGGCTATCCAAGTTGAGCCCTTTCACCTGTCACAACGTAGACCGAGCAGAGAATTAAAGGCACCTTCGTCATTTCTTCGAAGTACCTGACTTGATGTTACATCCCGCCCCTTCCTTGAATTACTTCTTTCCCGTCCCTCCACATGCTCTTGCCATCGGTACAGTCAGGTAGATGCTCCAAAGTACGTACCTACGGAGGTGAGGAAGGCACGTACTCCCACCTTCCCGTACCTTATTCATAGCTTCCACCTCCAGGTTGACGGAGGAAGGTGTCGAGGGATGCTCATGGCGCCTTCCTTCCTAGGTAGGTTCATCCTTCACCTTCCTGCTCCTTCTCAAGGGCTGTCTCGGCCTCGCCTCTTTTGCTTCTTCCACACAAATATCCCAACCCTCCACAGAATCACCCTTCGGACACTCTTTCATCATCAACTCTGGGAATCCATCATCACTCGTTTCCTCCACCTTCACTAGGACGTTGTCATTTTCCGACCTTCTCTAAGCAACACCACCTCCACTCGTTATTCCCGCCACCCGCTCAACATGTTGAAGCCGCTCCTCACTCTGTTGCTGGCTGCCATGGTCGCGGCTCAGGCCAACCACGTCATCTACGGCTTCGAGTACCTTGGATGCGTCAGCGTCACCTCGGACAAGTTCGACGCCTTTGTCGACTTTGGTAAAGGTTACACCCCTGAGCAGTGCCAGTCTGCTTGCACCGGTCGCAACTACGCTGCTACGTTCCCCGAGTAAGTCGTCTTCTCGCTCAGACGCTTGAACATATCATACATTAGCATCACAGTGGCAACCTGATACTGACGAGTATCTTCCTCAACAGTGGTTGTCGTTGCGGCAGCAGCATTCAGAGCTTCCCTGTCGTGAACGAGGCTCTCTGCAGCAACCCGTGCAATGGCAACACCGCGCTCGGCCAGTGTGGATTCTTTAATCCTCCGACCTGCAGCTATGCCAATGTGTACAAGGCTTGCAACGAGATGTCGTCTCCCTCTGCTCCGTCCCCCGCTGGCCCGGCTCCAACTGGTCCAGCTGGCAGTGATCCCGGTTCAGATATCACGTACTCCACCATCCGACTCCCTCCCATCACCCGTACCGTGAAGCTGGCCACGAGATCGACTGTAATCATCCAGAGCGTCACACCAGGCGGTGATGGTCTCACAACTTCCTGCACCGTTCTGTCGGGCACTCCCACTACTCTGTCGCCAGCTTCTCCTTCGGTTCCTACAGTTGTCATTCAGACGGTCGTTGTTCATGTCCCGCCGACGAGTACCCCTGGATTGCAGAGTTACGGCAGCATCCAGTCGGATCCTCCCGTGGCTACCGCACCACCGGCTGCGCCAGTAACTGAAACATATACCAACCCTCCCGCGCCACCTCAGACGACTCCCAGCGACCCTGGTGTCACTAGTCTGACCCCGTACGATGACCCTCCCGTCGTCGTTCCTTCTCTGGGCAACGTCACCATTCCCGTCGCTACATCTACTCCCGACGGACCAATGTTCCAGACGCTCATTCTGACGGACGACCCTCCTGCTGCCACCGCGACATCCACTCCAGCCATTGTCACCCAGAGCCCAGCCCAGCGACTCACGGTTGGGGGCTTCGGCGTCATCGCAGGTGCCCTGATCGCGATGGGCTTCTAAGCGACAGGTTTCTGATCAATAATCGCCCAGGTGTGAGCGCGTACGAGACGGAGAAGGCGAAAGTGATGAAGGTGGACAGACGAGATCATTACTTGGAAGATTTTTGGAGGCTGTGAGGCCTGATAGTCACCGACAGCCATTAGTTCAGGGGCGTGATGCTGGGGAAAGTTGCTAGCATAGTGTCAGGCTTCTGTCATGTCGCCAACATTAAGAGAATCATCTGTCTTATTCCCGATGCGTACTTGTCAGTGATGTTTCCACAAGCGTGAGATTGAGCTATCAAAGTTGTAATACCGACACGGGTTGCGTTGGTGACTGATTGGTGAAGTAGTTCGTTCCATGCCTTCAAAGCTGACGGGGACTCCTGCCAGACGCATCCGCGCTCTTGGATCGCAGCCGGTTGCGGTTGCTTCAGCGGACGGATTCAGGGGTACAGTTCAGGCACGGTATAGCAGTCACATGACTGCATGCCATCTCCTCCTTCCTTCCTGATATTCACACGGTAGAGATGACCCACCTGAGACCGGGGACCTGATGAAGAGTACGTACCGATGAACGCCTTATCGCCAAGTTCAGGGCAGTCGCACCGATCCGGTACCTTCTCGGAGTCATGCCCGGCCTACAGTCGGTTCATTTGGGCGATACTTCAAGTCTGCAAAACCACCTACTGCTCTACATCCAACTGTCTCCTTACTCCTGCAACCTCTCGTGCTCCTTTCAACTTTCACAGACACAGCAGACAGTCGGGAAAACTGGTCAAGCTCTGCACCGTCATCCGCTCTGCCGCTACGGCGCCCAGCAGCCATGTCGGAACTGCCCCTCCAAGTACCAGGCCTGGGTCGCGACGCATCACCGCGGGTCGTGCCGCGCGACGCGCCTCTCACCGCTTCGGATGCGGACGCAGCCCCGGCCACGGCGATCAAGGGAGACGACCGAGCCGAAGCGATCCCCGGCGCCCATGCCGACGCCGGATCCCAGATCTCCCTTCCCATTCGGACACGGCAGCCACTCAGGGAAGCGAAGAAGCATGTGAATGGCTCAGCGGGGCCGTTCTTCGAGGTCCTCTCCTCCGACCTCCGCTACCAGATTTACCAGCTCGCTTTTGGCCGCAAGATTCTACATCTCTACTTACTGTATCGCCGCAGCCTCCAACCAGATGTGAGATGGCGGAAAGGCCACCAGCCTGTGCCGGCTTGGTACCCTCATTCACCGAGCGTGTCGCCTATGGATCCGCCTTTTGCCGATGCGAGTATGACGCCGCAGTGGTACTGGTGGAGCTGCGTGTGCGGCCCGGAGGATCGGAAGCTCGAGACTAAACTGTCTGATCAGTGTCCTAGAGGTTTCTACCAGACATGCGGTCCTAAGGAGACATATCTGGGTGTACTCCCGTGGTTGCTAACATGCCGAAGAGCGTGAGTTCGTTCTCCGCACCTGAGGGAGTTCATCGTGGCGCATAAGATGAGACCAACGGTGGTTTTCATCACATCAGATGACCAATACTGACTGATGTGCAGCTACGAAGAGACGATACAGGTCTTGTACGCGAGCAACACATTCAAGTTTGAGCAGAGGCTTGAGGCCATGTACTTTCCATATTCCATCGCCACGCCGCAGCTCAACTGGATCACATCACTGGAAATACGCATACCGGACCGCGATGAGTCCCTTGTCGACAAATCGCTCGACAAGTCCCCGCGACCTTCACCCGGGGCGCCTACAATCACTGAGCTCCGCGCATTGAGTCCCCGAGACCAGTATCTGAGCATCATTAAAAGCATCGCGCCAAATTTCCCTGCCCTCCGTCGGCTACACATTTCCTTTGAGGGTTCCGTTCGTAGGGTCCCGGTGCCTCGACCGAACGTCACAACCCTCCTCATCTCCACTCTTGGTGAGGTGGACACGAACGAGCTGGAGTCTCTCATCTTGGGACCCATTGACGCGATGCCAGAGGAGATTGACAAGCAGGTTTTGTTTTACCAATCACTGTACACCGCACTTCTCGCAGCTGAGAGCCAGAAGGGTGAGGGCGAGGTCAAGGAGGTTGAATACCTGCGGAGCGACGGACGCCCCGGGTGGACCAAGTTCTGGCGGTCATTGGGGCCGGCAGAGGGAAGAAAGGCGGGATACTGGGTTTGCAAGCACGGCTGAAAAGCCGAAACCAAAGGTTGACAGCCTGAAAGGCAGGCTTGTCTCGGTTAATGTATAGGCCCCGTCACTCACGGTCCGTCTAAGGCTCGCCTCGTTCGGCCGCCGCATCACATTATACCAAGGCATTTTCCAGTTCCAAACAAGTGTCTGTCAAGTGGCCCCTCTTCCATGTTTAAGCAGAGCTGTCCCGGAAGCAAGCTTTCTACTTCGCAAGCGCTGACGCTTTGCGGAGGTATCGGGTGTGGAGAAGGCGAGGGCACCCCGGCCGAGCCGTGCGCCGTGCGGAGGCCGTCCTTCATGCTTCTTTGCTTCTCCCCCTCATCCGATGCCCATAACCTCCCCAACCGCGCCAGCGTTTTGCAAAGTAACCCTCCTTCGTTCTCGGAATCTGTAGGGATGGTTCATGCAATCTTTCTGCCGCTGCTTGCTACCTCTTGTAGCAGGAGAAGAAACGAAAAAAAGTCAGCTCTCCAAGCGCTATGACGACACGATGGTCTCCAACAAAACGTTTCCAATGTCAGTGAGCACATGTTTCTTGTTTCCCGCTGGTGGAGTGTGACCTGACTGGGGGTAAGGAGCTCTCTGCTGTTATATAACACGGGAACTGTCGCACGTTTTGACGTCTGCGGCACGAACGTATGCACGCTCGGTTGTGGGCTTCTTTTCGTCTGCAGCTCAGCTCATCTTCGGTCTTTGCGAATCTTGAGATTACCAGCGCCCAAAGAACTCGACAGACATAGCGAAGCACTAGCGGAACGAGACGAGCTTCCGACGAGGGGGTAGAGAAGCGGGAACAACAGACAGACGCGGGACTAAACTAGTGACCGCGGGAGACGGTTTTGCCGCCAACGAAACGAAACGAAACGGATCGAAACGTGCAGTGCCGCCATGCACTCGCCAATGTCGAGCCTCGACCACTGGTGGTGGCGTTTCCTGGAGAACCACGTCTACCGCATCCCGCCGCCGCCGAAGCGCAAGCGCACGAAGCCGATGCAGGTTCTCTGCGTCGGCCCGCCGCGAAGCGCCACCGAGTCCCTGCAGCAGGCTCTGCTTGCGCTCGGGTACGATCATACCTACCACGGCTGGGATATCGTGTACGACGACCCGCCGATTCCGGCGACGGGCTGGGTGAAGCTTGCTCGGAAGAAATGGTACGGCGGCGGCGGGTCGTCACCGAAACGCAAAGGAGGGAAGGAAATTGACGATCCTTCATCAGAGGGCGACTGCAACATCACGACCGAGGAATTCGATGAGTTGCTGGGCCACTGCGTCGCGGTGACGGACGCGGCGGCGAGCTGCTTCGCGGCGGAGATGATTCGGGCGTACCCAGAGGCCAAAGTCGTTCTCAACGTGCGGCGGGACCTGCACTCGTGGCACAAGAGCGCGGTCAAGACGCTGGTGCACGTCAATGAGAGCTGGAGCTTCTGGGTGTCGAGCCTGTTGGACCGGGAGGCGTTTTGGGCGTGGCACGTCTATGAGAGGTTTCTGTGGGCATTGTTCTTCCGGGCGCCTGATGGGGATATGGCGAGTGCGATTAAGAGGAATGGGAAGTGGGTTTATCGTGGTGAGTTGCATTTTCTTTTTTTTGGACCGGACTACTGTTTTGATTTCTTTTGGGGGTTCAAGCCTTTCTATGTTTCTTCTTGCTACGATCAAGCCCTTCCCGTTTCTTCTTCCCGAGTTCAAGCCTTTCTGCGTGCGCGTCACAAAGTCTTGTCTGGCTTTGAGTGATGCTCGTGGCCTGATCTACGAGACCTTGGACAACGGAACAGACGCACGTCTCGCGGCATTCAATTATTATGATATGATGGAACTAACGGCACTTCGAATATAGAACACTGCGACATGATCCGCGGCATGGTGCCCCCCGACCGACTCCTCGAGTGGTCTGCTGATGAAGGATGGGAGCCTCTGTGCAAGTTTCTGGGTAAGGAGGTGCCTGACGTGCCGTTCCCGCACGCTAATGCTGTTGGGCCCGGTGGCGGGTGGAAGGCAAGGGAGGAGATGGCAATCAAGAGGTGGATTGAGGGGGTCTTGACGAATTTGATATTGATGGGGATTTTCTTTGTGGGAGGGTGTGCTGTTTGGCTTAAGTATTTGAGGTGAGAATAAGGTCGGATATGAGAGACTGGGGTTGGATTAGCAGTGGAAAGTGACAAGGGAGAGTGTTCTGTGGTGCGTTCCTGTAATGTGGAGGATGAGGAACATGCTACCGTACATGATGCTGTAGGCGTTTGTAGAGTAGTCGCTCCTGATGTCCTCAAGGATTGGGTACAGTTATCATAGTACAAGATATCAGGTCGTGCCTTAATCAGATGCTATAGTATTGTTGAGCTATTAACTTGCCTTACAACATTGAACCTTTTTCCTATGTGTCGTCCCATGTTAGAACACAACTGTCACCGTGTGAATGCCCACATATCTGCCTCCCAAGCCCGTGCTATTCAACCTCTAGAAAACTACATGTTCTGGACTCATAGTTTCTAACCCTTGTGGACAGTCATATATTCGGCAATCAGCCTACATGGCTGAGATGCTTGCCTAATCGCCGCTATTACTTGCAAACGTACCTAGGCCGTGCAGCCTTTCACAAACCTCAAACCTCCAAGGTCGCCAGTATCAGAATACCCCAATCTTGACCTGCCATCGCTCTGCCATTTCTCAGTCGTTTCGATGCTCAAGTGTAATTTAGAACCGCAAGCTCGATGACCCGAACAACTCGGAAGGTACTTGGCCCAGGTTTGGCTTCCTGAGGTATCTCCGCAAGGAATTAGAATAACTCGGAAGGTCCTTGGCTCAAAGTTACGCTTCATAGTGTATCTCCGGAAGACTTCATCAAGAATTCCATAAGGTCCTCGATTTCCCTTGACAGCTATGTGTTATTTGATCAGTTCACCAAGCCCGTTGACCTGCGAAACAGATCTTCTTCGTTCACCTCACGCCAGTTTCATTTCAGTACTCATTTCATCATCGGATGACGATCATCGTCACATCCCCCTTAGGACGTCCAGCAACATATTCGTCACTGAATAAGCACAATGGCGCCACAGAACACGACAAGAGCTGCCCATCCTCAAGTTGAGGCAGCATCACCCTCGACCCCGACAACAATGCTCAGTCTTCCGATGGAAATCATCGAGAGGATTGCTCACTCCGTCGACGTCCGAGATTCGGATGATATACACGCTCTGTCTCGGGTGTGCAAAGGCTTCTACCATGCCTGCATTCCAATCTACCACAAGAGGGTGGTTGAGAGACACCCTTATATACTCAATTGGGCCACCGCAATCGGCAGATTAGATCTCATGAAGAGATTCCTCAAAGCTGGTGTAGATCAGAAGGCGAAGATTCGTGATCCGGGACGTGACAGAAGAAGACCGCGCTTCTACCCACCAGGACTTACTACTTTAGGAATATTCTTTTGGCAATACTTTCGCCAGCCATTTGACTCGATCTTCGTACCACGTCAATACAGAGGACCTGCGAGAGAAACCCATCGCCTGCGACGAGCACGGCCCGAAGACCGCTCTCTGACGCCGCTGAGTATCGCTGTCTACCAAGGCAACTACGAAGCCCTCTCCTTGTTGTGCAGACACAATCCCGATTGGATGGTACAACTCGACCCTCGCCTTCTCGACATAGAAGGAGAGCCAAACGGACTATATTGGCGTCTCTCCGATATGGCGTTCTACCATAAGGACGAAGATATGCTGCTGAAGGCCTTGCCAGCAATGCAAGCAACAGCCTTGCGTCACCTCGCCGTTGTATATTGGAGACTCACACTGAAAAGGCTCATTGACCGAGACTTTTTGAGGGTGGCGGCATTCCTTCTCGAGCAGTTACCCTTCGACAATAACCACTACATGATCCTCGGCGATTATATCTTCCATGGTGCCGACGTCAATGAAAGGTGGCGGGACTTTCATAACCTCAGCGCTATGCAGCATGCATTCCGCCTGTCACTTGACCAGACAAGACGGCCAGACTTCTTTGCGGATTGGGCAGCGTTGCTTGCGAACTACGGAGCAAATGTCGACGAAGATCAAGGCGTAGGTCATACGCTCCTTATAGAGGCTTGCTACATTGGTTGTTTCGATCAGGCGCGTGTGCTCCTCTCTGTCGGAGCTTCGCCAGTTATAGCCTTCTCTCGTGCCGGTTTGCATGTAGCCGCCCGAGCTCCACCGCAAGGTGGCGAGTTCCACATCGGGTCCCACGGGAACGGTTTACCGGTGATAGATTTCACGCCCCTTGAGATCGCGTGTCTGCCGTATATGCACGGGTGGTCATACGGGCTGCTGACCTATAAGGCGAGCCACGGCGCCCGGTCAGAAGCCAGACACCAGGCCTGGCAAGCGTCACGGTTGGCGTTCATAAGGGCCATAGCCCCGACCTTGGAAGACGCCCGGGGGCAGACAATCCTGCGAACGGCACTGTCCATTGCTGCTGAGCTCCGGGATGTGGATGTTGTCAGCGCCTTGCTAGAGGCTGGCGCCGGTCTTACCGGTGGAAGTGAGCTATCCTGGGGTAGGATGGGCATGTTTCCTCCGCTTGTGGTTGCGCTGCTCAAGTCAAAGGTCTTTAGGCACCAGGGAGGCCGAGTTGATGCTGAGAGAACGGCCAGACTGCTTCTTGAGAGCGGGGCGGATGTGAGGGATTTGCAGTACTTTCCGGGCGCGTTGTGGAATTTCGAGGTGATTCTTGGGGTCTCCGCGGATGATTACAGACGGCCGGTATGATAGCCGGGTTGCTTGGGCGTCATGATAGTCACTTGCAGCGAAAACAGCTTCGAATATCTAGGAAGTAAAGAAGCTTGCCCAGGTCGGGTAATCTTTCAGAAAAGGATGTTGCGAGGCTTCTATAGGGCGCAACATGGAATAGGTATGATCTCAAAGATAACATGGTCATTGAGTTTAGTTGAATAGCCACGATAGTGGTAGCCCACGATCTCCCAGAAGTGGTATATAAGTGAAAGGGCCGTTTGTAAGTGCCCATACCGCCTTCCGGATCCATCTTTTCTGCCGACTGCTCAGAGATCCAACAAGTCTCTTGTCATCCAAGTCCCACAGCTTCACCTCCAATATCGTCATGTTACTGAAGTACTCTCTGAGAAGCCCAAAAACAAGCCGCCAGGGCACTTTCTCCCCCTTTTCAGCATCTTCGGAAGCGGCGTGTCGCGCATCGACTTTGACGTGCTGGATTCTATCGCAAAGATTCCGCGGCATCGCCCACTCCTTCTCGGCCGCGTTCTATCGGCGACTCGTCAGGACGGGTCCGGGGCTTCTATGATCGCCCGTCCAGCTACGCTCAGCCTGCATGGATCCATTCCAGTCCAAGAGTACAAAGTCTTGAGCCGGGTTGAACGGTACAGAGAGCGGATCTGGTTCGCCGAAGAAGGTGATAGCGAGCGCTCTTGTCTCACGGCTGACGGCATAAAGAGGGATTCGATACCAAGACCTGTAGGAGCGGAAGTGTACTTGCATGCCCCCTCTCCATTCTTGATCCATGACTACGGAGCCCTCCACGACGATTGGGGCCTCTGATGAAAGCAAGATCTTGTCTCTGAGCTCTTTCGGTAGGTCCATGAAAAGGGGGAATGTGGGTGGTTCGGATATGTCGACTTCCTTCTTTGACATCTCCCTCTCCTCTTCCGGAGAGTCCACCACCATTCGGAAAGGTTGGTAGCTTTTGGGGAGACGGTGGGGGTGATAGGGATGGCATCTCATATGCCTTCGGGCTTGTAAGATGAGGCTGGGCCATCTATCGCGGTTGGTCGAGTCTACAGGTATATCCAGGTCGGTCTTGATCCACGGCTCAACTTTGCCATACATATTCTCAGGAGTGTCGTTAATATAAGATTGCAACCCTAGTGAAGCCGCGTTGGACCAAGTCGGTTGGAAGAGTCTTGCAAGGAATGCTTTCGCCATTTTCTACTGCACACGCAATGGTGAGGCGAAGTAGGTAGTTGGCGTCTGGGAGATGCGAGTAATGTTTTGGGAATCGACGTTACCGATTTGTCTTCAGGTTTCTAATAATTGAAAGAACACGTATTACCACCTGGCATGCAAAACAATATGAGGCATCAGAGTATTAGCCTTCCTATGATGTATTTCGACACGTATGTTTCCCGAGTCAGTTCTAGGCAGTCGTTGAAGTCCAGGGGTCGATTACTAATCGGCCGGCTCCCACTGAGTTTCAACGGTTATGGACCATACAACCGTTAGAACAGGGATTCAAAATATGCAACACGAGTTATAACGCTTGCTGTCACAAAAGAGACCTCGTATTAATGCAGTCTTTGCGGATATGCGATCTGAAGTTAGTAAAGACTGTGGACATAAGATCGGGGCCCAACACAATTGAAATAATAGATGTTTGTCACTAGACATCGATTCTGGGAACTTCTAGTTGCAAAGCATTTACATTTTGTTCGTTTCTCATTGCTATTTATCTCTTCTTCCAGCTACAGCTCAAGGATTATATTAAAAGCTCCCAAGAGCAATGTTTATAGATATTACTGGTAAGTTTGCGCGATGATACAGACGGGATGTTTGATTGTTGCGAACTTGAGATGTAAAAAATGAGCTGTCTGTGACTTTATGTAGGACCACCAATTTTCGAACTCGCAACCTTTTCAGGACCCAATTAAGCGTTAATACTTTCAACACTAGGTCATATACACTTCAGACGATGCTAATACCTTTCCTCTGCGGTATTCGCCCTATAGGGCTATGGGGTTGTGGTTTATTCCCAGACATTTATTCCATATGGCAGCCGGGCTGCCGGCCAGACCTGAGACCACTCTGTGGGCTCCACTTAATTGGTGCTTCGGCCTTAAGTAGTAATACTTCATGAGTGTTCACAACATTTTGTTCAGTCAAGCATGCCTTCAAGTAAATCGAGCCCGTAAGCAGAACACTAGCCATGCCATTATACTGCTGGCGCTCATAGCGACTTTACAGACAGCTCAACAAGCATCTATTCCTTAGGGACCAGTCTACCACTTCCCGAGTTCCTCGATTACCACATATGTTTTACCCAACATGCGGAAACAGATGAATGAAAATAACACAGGCATGCTGTAATCCGTATGTAAACTCAACCCGATCAATTTTCAAAGTGTGAAACGAGCTTGCAAGATCTCTTCGCACCATCTGTAGTGTCAGCGCAAGAAGCAGGATGGAGTTTGAAGCCAGCTCAACCAGTAGAAGGATTTTGCCACGATCCCACTCCGTACAGGTAGCGAGAAGAAAGAGATCAGAACGAGGGCTTAGGTGACGGGTCTTCACATCATAGTCCACCTCACCCTAAACGTCCATGATCAATCTCCCGAATGGCTCATAGGTAAAGCGTCTCACTAGTATTTCCGTTGATTACAAGACTTCAATCTTTGACACGATGGTTCCCGTCATGAGAAGATCGTCAGTTCGATTCTGGCTTTGGGCAGCTTTTCTTTTGCCATTTACGGCAATCTGTTTGCAGCTCACCCTTGTTTTTGTGTTTCTCTTGGAAAAGCAAAGTTTGATGTTGCCGTGTCGATGCATAGCCACATGGACTCTCCCCTGATAATGTGGCTAGGCGTAAATTTTGCTGCTTGTACGGAGTACCTATTGGCCTTCTCCCCCGTTCGATGGGTCCCGTTGTGCACCAATCAATACCTGGAGTGGATATTAGGGGTAGCAATGAAATAGATCTCATCAAACCGTGAATTCAGAACACACTTCCTCACAACCTCGTTCCTGTACCGCCAGCATCACTTGGTGCTGACTCCTTGACAAACGTACTGCTCGCACGCTATCTCTCTTAGCATGCGCTTGAGTCAATCAGGTCTTTACAATCATCACTCGGCAGACGGTGAACTAGTCCGTGAGCCGATTATCGCAAAGCCGGCAGATTCAGCCATGACGAACCTGCACGACCTGCCTCCGGAGATCAAGACAGCCATTGTCAATGAATTGGCGCGACAAGAGGTCCTCCTCCCGGGAGATGAACCCATCGGTTATGAATATGCCGATACTCAGCTTGCTGCACTCGCGGCGCTAGCCCGGACGAACAAATTCTTCAATGCCGTCGCAACGCCAATGCTGTACGATAATGGCGTGCGCCGCCATCCCTATTTGTTGTGTTGGGCAACCGATATTGGCAACGTGGAAATCATGAAGAAAGTGCTGCGGACTAGGCCGACAGATCCCAACGATGCAATCATTCGATTTCAGGCCGAATATAGTCCATGGGACCCAAACGCCGAATCATCAAAAGAGCTCTTTTACCGTTTTTATCGGCGTGACGGGCATTGTTTCCAAAACCAAGGGATGTACCGAGGACGCTTAACTCAGAGGAATGCTCCAATGGACGAAATAGATGCCCTCTATGGCTATGCACTTGGAGACGAGTGGAGGCGTTCTGGATCTGGCAGCAGCAGTTTGACCTCTACGTCTGCTGAGGATGGTAAGTACAACTTTTCAAATATTGGATCTTTCTGAACGGAATCTGACAATATAGGCCTTCCAATGCCTGTACCCGACAGTGTTTCAGATACTAACTCGGAATCTGAAGACACTGAGACTAGCGACGGATCCGATGATGAAGAAAGGGGGAGCCAAGAAGAACTCAGGGGTCAAGAAGATGCCGGCATCAGTGCGAATGACGGTCCGGCGTCGGAAGCGCCCTCCATTGACACTTCTTCCGATGACGATTCCTCCGAAGACGCTTCCGTTAATGATGACTACTCGGATGGCGAAGATGTCGGCAGTGAAGACGGCACTGATACTGTTGCGGCTCCTGCACATACGACACCCTTTCCCCTGCCGGATGTTGGTGTTGATTCCGACGATACTTCCGACGATCCTTCAGAGTGGGGCGAGCCCGGCAGAGTGCTGCGCGAGGCCGATGTCACTCACGTCATGTACGAAGGTTACCTCCGATTCCCGGACTACGACGACAAAGAGGACATGGACAACACCGACATCGAGGGCATGTATTGGAAGCCTATCCATATTGCCGCCAGAATGGGCAACATGGAAGCTCTTGAATTGCTTCTGAACAACGGTGCACTTGTGAACGTGTCTTCACAAGGCTTCTGTCGCAGTGAGTGCCACCAAGTGCCAGGGCCGGCTATATACTGGGAGTATCCGGTGGGGTATCCCGCGTGGACACCACTGCATGTTGCCTTGTGCCACGGACATATTGGCGTGGCTAAGCGGATGATGGAGCATTGCGAATACCTCCAGGAACGACTTCTCAACTTCAATGCGATGCCATGGCAGGTGCTCCCCAGGTTCATTTCCGCCATTCGTCACGACCACATGGACCTTGCAGCGTGGTGTTTGCAGCAAGGCTGGGAGAGAGATGCTGTCAATGCCAAGAATGCAGAAATCAGAGGTGCGACGATGCTTTTCAGGGCGTTCTGGGAGGCGACTGATGCGAAGAACTTCGAAGCGGCTCTGGAGGTATTGCTGCGCAATGGAGCCGATATCAACCACGATCTCGGAAAAGGGCAAACCGTCTTGATGGAGGCATGCCTCTGGGGATTCTTCGACGAGGCCATTGCCCTCATCAAAGCTGGGGCCAAGGTCGACATCACTCTCGATGGTTTCAACCAAAACATCCAACTCGGAAGGGCATATGACGGGCGGCGCCGCGGCACTCCCATCGTAGAAGAGGGATGCGGCTTGCTCGAAATTTGCTGCGGTCCTACGCCCGCCCTACGCCAACCCCGTGATTTGATCGATGCGACCATGCATTCCCGAGGTCCATACCCCAGAAGGCGCGCTCCCGATTGGAAGACGGATTCATCGGCGCAACGTGAAGTCGTTCGTCTTCTGCTAGACTCACCAGCGCGAGCGGTGGGTAAACGAAATCCGTTACAGGTCGCATGCTCCTCGCACAACGTCGAGACACTATCGATGTTACTGGATCTAGGCATGGATGCCGCTAGCGCTAGCACCGACAACCTTACGCCACTTGAGTCTGTCGTTCTTGGGTATGACCACTTTTCGAACATAGACGCATACATAGCATGCATGAACTTGCTCCGCCAGCATCTCAGTAAACGTTCGAAAAGCAAGGATAGCTTCATTTGCACTCAAACCCTACAGAACGTGTTGGACAGCGGTATGCTCTACTACAACACGAGCAATAGTCGTCGTGTATGGGCTGCTTTGGTGGACTTCGTCACAGACGGGCTCGCCGATGGAAACATTCAGTCCGAGGGAGGTATTACCCTCCTGATGACACTATTCTATGGTGGGTTCGATATGCATCAGCTCGCACTGAGATTATTGGAGCATGGTGTCAAGACACCGACGAAGACCGAGTGGTATGGTATCTGGTCGAACATGAATGTCAAGGTTCAAGCGGCACGATTCGAACCCCGCGCCAGCTTTGCCAGCAGCGAAGAAGCTTACAGCTTTTGTAAGGCTATGGACCCGGCGGAATATTTCCTGCATGATCCCTTTTACCTCGCCGCCGCGATGGCTACGAAACAACAGAGCCTTGTGGACGCAATAGTCAAGTATGGCCACATGCAAAATGAGTGGTGGATCACATACCCGGTGTGGGTCGACTCACCGGATCAGCCCCCCTACGTCCCAGCCATGGAAGAGGCGTATCTCAGACAACACGAAGCATTCGAAGGCCAGCCGGCCGGCTCGTCGAAACAGCCGGAATCAGTCAAGGCCATCGATGCCGGCAGTGACATTGAAAGCGAGTCAGACGAGAGATGCTTGTGCACTGGTGGCACCCATGAAGACGATTGTTTCTATTTCACGTACCCCAAATCTAGGCATTGTCTCATGTTTCTCAAGAAGAGACATGCAGGGTGGTCACTCTTCCATCTTGCCATTCGTTTCCGTCAATACAATGTCGTCAAGAGGCTCGTCGAACAAGGGGTGGACGTAAACGAAACGACGAAGAACGGTTGGAGTCCGGGGTATATCATGTGCGTCAAGGAATGTTTTGATGAGAAGATTGTCAAATACCTCGTCGCTCATGGAGTAAATCCGCATGTTGGAAGAAGTGGAAGGTGGGCGTCACCATTGCATTATGCCCGTCAAGAAGGCGCAGACCCTCGTGCAGCCGACTTCATGCTTGAGGCATTTGCACTGTCGCGAAGACCCTCACCGCGAAAGACCCTACGTCCTTCCACCGCCTCATCCAGGAAGCGACGGATGTAGACGGTTTGTTTAGGAACATGACGCTTGACCAGACGTTGCCTGGCTTCATCCGTTCTGATACCGCCATCAACACGGTTGACGACGATGGCAGAATACCCCTCGGCTATTTGATAACTCTCATCCACGGCATCTACGAAAAGGGCGAGCTTCACAGACATCATGCGAGGCGCTTCGAGAAGATGCTTCCCACAATCATGGAGTGCGGGGCCGAGGTGGGTATCGTCAACAAGACAGGCGAGAGCGTGCTGGACTTGTCTCAGCAGGTGAGGGAGCTCGATGACTCTCTGCGAAGCATACAGTTTTTCCTTCATAGAGATTCACCTGAGCTCTACTAAGTCATGGTGCAACGTAACGCTGTGGGTATGTAAATTTGGGAGGATGAAGCTTGGGGATGTGCTTCAGCTTGCGTCTGCGGATGGCATATGGGTCGCAATTTTCTTGAGCCTAGGTACACTCGGCTTCTCGGGTTCGAGTAAGAAAAGGGGATGCTGTGGTGTGTGGGTACATCTCGTGCCGGTCTATCAGAGGAATTAAGTTCAAAGAGACGTCGACATTGTGGAGGATTGGACCGGTTTTCTTGCAGGCCAATCTTGACCTACCTTTAGATGTGGCAACTGTAAAGTTTCAATGTACTTCTATTACCCTAAACGGCGCTAGATTTGTCTTTACGTAGCCTACTCTGCTGAACAAGACTAGTCTGGTCATTTCTGGTTCAACCCGGGCCCATTACCAAGGTCCGAAACCGAACTTCTGCCTTGGCCATTCGTTGCCTTTGTGTTGGGAAAGAACCAAAGAAACAAGGTGGTATATAATTGAAAAGCTTTAGGTAGGGTCAAGACTAAGAGCGAGGGTGTAAAGGACAACATGATACCGCACCGCTGGGGTTGAAAAGGATGTTCCACCACTGCTCTCGAGCCGAATCTGGTGTCAAAAACCCCGAGTTCTGCCCGAAATACCTTTGTATTTCGATCATCCCTGTGCTAACTAAAATTGGCTCATGACAGCCATCTGGGCGAGCCACTTTGCCTCATAAAGAGAGAAGTCTGCACTCGGAGATGGGAAGAAATATGCATGTGGGCCTTGCCATCCGTTCTCTACAAGGGACGGGCCGCTCGGGTAGGAGGCGCTCACGGCGCTCTAGCCTCTCAGCTGAAAATGTGACTGCAGTTAAGTTCTGTATCTCGTAATTGATTGGCCGATGCTAGGCTGCCAAGACACTGTGCAGATAGGCGCCTTCAGCGTATGCAGGCGCTACCGTAGATGGTTGATGTGATCTATTTTATAATTTTATTGTGCGTGATTGACCGAAAACATGGACTCAAACGATATGCAGCAGGACCCAACAAGCTTAGGCACCGCCTGAGGAGTCTTCGTGTTCTCAACACAGCCAGGCGCAAACTCGACCTGCTGAGCCAACATTCAACCAACAACATCCGACCGCACCTTACCATCGCGGAACCAAAAAAAAACAAAAAAACAAAAAAAAAAGCCCCTTCGCCTTCTTTGATCACGCCACGCAGTAAGATGAAAGTATGGAACAAGTTGTTGGACAAGGTCAAGCCCAAAGACCCAAGCCAATCTGCAACCTTGAATATCACGTCCTCTAACGTAGCGACACTCTCCACCACCTCGTCTTCCCCAATCGAAGTCTCGGCAAACGGTCTTCGAGAGCGGCTTTGGAACGAAGCATTTGATGGGCTGGAATCTGTGGATGCGGATACATTCAAGCGGTATAAGGAGATACTGCTTAAGCAACTTCAAGAGGGCCAACTTCAGAACGCTCCTTCCGATCCGGCCTCCGCGACTGATGAGCAGATTAGAGCAGCCAGTAATGGAAGATGGCTGCAAATGGAGCAGCTTGTGGACATTGGATTTCAGCGAATTGAAAAGAGGACGGCCATCAAAGCAAACATTAGCGACAAGGTCAACGTGGTAATGCCGTTTAAAGACCTCATCGGCAACGCTGTCAAGGCCTCTCCAGAGGCCTCTATCGCCTGGGTCGGTATTTCCTTCGGTCTGGAGGTAAGTTCAACTGTTCGAAGTGGTGGGATTCTTGCCTAATGCTGGTAGATACTCGCGAATCCTCTAAAAGCGCCAAGTGACAATCGTAAGGGACTCACCGAGGTCGTCTCAAACATGGAGTGGTACTGGGGACTCTCGGAGCTTCCCCTTGAGAAGGACAATACAGAGTCTGCGTTTAAGGAGCTGCGACTTCGGCTGGAGAAAGACATCGTACAGCTTTATCGGAAGCTACTCCTTTACAAATAAAAAGTATTTATCGCTTCTTTAAGAGCGAAGTCGATAATATGTTACGACCCGACATGCACGACCAAGTCCAGGGCCTGCCCCGCAGGACCACGGCGACTAGGGCACACCATAAGTGCACGAACTATGGGAACACATGCGTCACCCTACGGAACGGAAGAACTATAGTATAAGTCACGTAATAATAAGATAAGGACTATTTAGGATTAATATAATCTAATACGATTTAGGGGCTAAACGATCATTCTAAATTAAAATAATCTAGGTGTTACGACCCAACATGCATGACCAAGACCAGGGCCTGCCCCGCAGGCTTACGGCGGCTACGACACGCCATATATGCAGACACAGGAGTCATCTCAACGGAACGGAAGAACTATGGACAAGTCACGTGATGATAAGAAAGGACCGACAAGCGATAAGCGGTCTATGACATGGACCGACAGGATAAAGGCGGTCCACCCCTGTAGGACCGACAACACGATGTCGGTCCCAACCACAAAGGAACTGTTCAATGGTATACGGGACTTGTATATAAGGATGGACTTGAGCTGGACTCTAGGACAGACTTTCCATAGCTTCTTCAGTAATTAACTTCGTATCAGATCTTATGATCGCTTTCAGCTATCTTCCCTGAGAACCTCTTTGATAAGACTACGAGTGATCACCGAAGCCTTCCCTTACCTTACGACTTACAGACATAGCTTCCCTGAAGCTATCCCCGACTACGAATACTGTTACCAGTTCCGCAGCCTCAACTTCTGCAAACAAACCTCACTACGACTAGCTGGCTGTAACACTTGGGTACGGGTAACTGGCCGGTGGGGGCTGGGCTTGCTATAGGTAGGCGGGAGAGTTATCATATCAAGTCCTTAAGGGAGATTGTGTTAGAGGAGTGCTATTTAATAATCTTAATCTCCGCCGCGAGGTTATTATATACTAAAATAAGGGATTAATATACTTTAGTATAACGTAGTTCACAAGCGAGTGAGCCACCTTTTAGCACCCGTAGGACAATATGTAAGAGAAATCAACAACAACACCTTAAATCAATTTAAACTATTTATAATCCTCTTCTTCAGAGGTAGATTCAACTTTCTAACACATAGGAGCATTATGGCCAGTCTCTCCACAGATGCCACATCGTCGCGCGCGCGTTTCTATCCTTCTCGCACGACCACTACTCTGACCTATTTCTACCTATAACTACCTCGTCACATCAATTTAAGACTTTATATCCTTTACCTGATTAATTGCAACCTCCACGAAACATCTCTCCAGCTTGGCACGGGCTGTTAGTGCCATGCTAAGGAGGGGCCCCAGTCCCCGCGGTTTGCCGCTGCGCGCTGGGGTGGATTAGCTATACGCTAATCAAACCCTTAACAACGCACATTTTCCCCTCGAATCGAGCCGACGATTATTCAACCTAACGAGCCGCCGTCGACTCGAATTCGCCTTCCGCAGGCTAGACGAAGTCTTCCTGGTAGGGCAGGGAGCAGAGGTTCCATCTAGCCTCCCGAAGGAGACGGGCGACTTTCTTTCCCGGCGCAGGTGGCGCTTCCGGGCCCAAATTGAACATCACCGACCGACTTTTCGACTTCGCTTTCTCAGCACCTTTGCCCCTTAAACGATCGAAGACTCCCTCGAAGAGACGAAACGACCATTGGGTAGCGATGTATAGCCGCGGCTATATACAGCTATGCTCGTTACAGAACCTAACAGCAAGCCCTACAACCTAGTCTTACGAGGTTTTGCCCCTTGTGGTTTCCCTTGTGGCGGTATTACCTATTACGATATACTCCGGACGGTTACTGGAACGTTGTGTAAACCAGAAGCCTGCGGGCTCTGGGTCGAAGGATAGGAGATACTGGCGGAATTGTGTTCTAGGGACGACCATAGCACTGTCTCGGGCAAGCCAGCGGCACCCAGAGACAGGTTAAACACATAGTTGCCTTTGGGCACGATTTGGAGGACGAGCTGGACTGTATCTAGTGATAGCTATAGGCCTACGGCCCTCCACGCCATATACCCTTCGGGAGGTCTGCCGCAAGGGCGGCTGCGCCCTTGCCGCTACGGCGTTAAAATACAACAACAACAACAACTACCTGATTAATTGTAAGTGTTCCACCTTTCTAAAGCTGTTTTTTTTTTCATACGGCGACGGCGGCTCATACGCTCATTTGCTTCTTAATACTCAGTCATTTATGCCTACATTATAACCTGATTATGTACGACTACCATAATTCCCTTCTTTAGCTGCTATATGTACCTAATAATTGACGTCGGGGAGCTATTCTGGTATCGTACGATGCGATTTATAATAAAATCAGACTGTAAGGTGAATTCAATTGGGTTGTTTGGTGTCTTTGGGACCCAAGCTGGTGGTAAGCCAGCAGAAAAACCTGGAGGTGTTGGGGTATAAAGCTTCACATCTAGCTATGAAATTACATATTCTGGATTGTACGGGACAAGGCCAGTTGCTCTAAAGCCTGCTTGAATGTTTAACGTCGTTATTGCCTTATCGTACGCCTTGTAAAAGGCTGGGAGGAAGTCTTCCTTTGCAATATGCGTAATATGTACCCGCATAAGGACCTCAATTTCTTGGCCGTACGCCCGGTTCAAGGGACTAAAGCACCCAACATCAAGAGGCTGGAGCTTGTGCGATGAATGAGGAGGCATACAGAGCGTAACAATCTTCTGCTCCTTGCAGTATAGCTCAAAATCGACAGAATGGTGGCTTTCGTGGCCATCGAGGACAAGGAGGCGGTAAGCACCCTCGTACGCCTCTTTGTATAGAAATCAAAGTACTTTACCCATTCTAGGCCTTTCTCATTTGTCGTCCAACCGTTTTCTATAAGTACAATTACCCAGTCGGGTGGGAGGGGGCTGTCGCACGTCCAGGAGTCAAGATAGACCTTACCTATAAAGATAATATACGGCGGGATAGAATAGCCGCACGACCTAATACCATGGATTACTATAACCCATTCCTAATTCCCTTATTATACTCCTCTTGGCTTGCCACGTCGTTCAAAGGCTATAATAACCATTTCGGAGGACATCTTACCCATTGCAAACCCAGTCTCATCAAAGTTATAGATATCGGCATCGTATAACGTACTTGATAAGCGAGCTGCCCCCCTAACCATAATCACATTATAAATCTAACTAAGGAGCAACACTAAAAACATAAAATCAATTGAAACTACTCTAAATCCTATTCCTCAGATATTTCTTTATTAAACTGATATATTTATGTATTGTGGCCAGTGTTTCCGCAGACGCCACATCGCCGTCGACCTGTTTCTGTCCTCGGCCGACGACCACTACTCTGGCGCGTTTCCTCCTTAATCTGGGCCGTAGCCTCTCTCTGCGACTGAATGTCCTCTGCCTCAGCTATAGTAAGACTTCCTCCTTGTCTGAGACGTGTTTTCTTAGCCCTTCTGCGTCGGCTAAATAGGTTGTTTTCCTCCCGGAGGATCTAGACCTCCGACCTTAATAAGGCAATCTGGTGCATAAATCCCCGCGCTCCCTTTGATAAATGCTCTACAGCTTCAATAATTGAAGTTGGGGAGCTATTTTGATGGCGGGAGATCCTCCTTTTGATGAGTTTGGACTGAGAAGAGGCCTCTGTTGGGTTATTTGGCGTCTGAGAAGTCCATGCGGGGGGTGTTGTTGGTAGGGACCCTGGGGGTGTTGGAGTGTGTAACTTGACATCAAGCTTCGAAAGCACACTTTCGGCACTCAAAGGAACAAGCCCGGCCCCTCTGAAGCCTCCCTGGATGTTTTTTACCGTTAGGGCTTGCGTGAAAGCGTTGTGAAATGCAGGGAAGAAGTCCTCCTTCGTAATATGGGTATTACCCCGGCGCATCTTATCCTCAATTTGTCGACCATAAGCCGTCTTTAGTGGCCCAAAACACCCAACGTCTAACGGCTGAAGTAGATGAGACGAATAGGCCGGCATGCAGAGTGTGACGATATTGTTTTCCTTGCAATATATCTCAAAGTCCGCAGAGTGGTGACTTTCGTACCCATCGACGACGAGGAGGCGATAACTGCTAGTTATACGCGGTTTTGTATGCCGATCAAAGTGCTGGAGCCAGTCTAGGCCTCTTTCATTTGTTGTCCATCCGTTTTCAGACGTTACGATGACCCAGTCGCGTGGGAGATCTATTTCTATATACCAGGTAGAGAGGTGATATTGGCCTGCAACGATGATATACGGCGGAACGCTATAGCCTGACGAACTGATGGCCTAAATGACTATAACCCATTCACGATTGCCAGGCTACATCATTTTTGTATTTGAACGCCTTTCAGCACTCGTAACGACCATCCCGGATGCAATCTGGCCCATCATAAACCCAGTCTCGTCGAAGTTGTAGATGTCGGAGTCTATAATGCCGTATTTTGCGATTATGTTCGCTATAAGCCGAAACCATGCGTTTATCGCGTCTGGATCTTCGCAATAGGCCCTCTTATAGTCGTACTTGCGAAAAAAGCGCGTCCGGAGCTGTGGTTGTCGTTTAACGAAGTTTGAAGCCCAGCGCTTCCCAACTGGGGGCGCGTCGCGGTCGGCAAGCAATCGATTGGCCATTTCTTCCATACCACTGATCCGGGGAGGAAACGATCGGGAATCCAGGTCGAGGATATACTCAACTAACTTCTCCTCTTCAAGCTCCGTCAATTTGCGTGAGTTAGGTATAGTATCTTGTCGTGTAGGTGTCCCTTTTAATCGGGTGCCTAGGGTCCTAGGGGGTACTGAATAGATTCTTGCTGCGGCTCGAATGCTGAGTTTAGGGTTTTTTTGAATAGCCTTGACTGCTAAGTTCAATTGGGCCTCTTTGCTTTGTGACGACATGATTATTTGTGGCGTGATACGCATTAGAAGTGAGGAGGAAGGATGAACGCGGTTGGGTGGGCAGCTCGCTTATCAAGTACGTTAACTAAATTGAATAATTATTAGAAAATCCCCCTTGTAATCAATCAACTTGAAGGCCAGATTTGCGTTGATTGCGTTGAGTAAAGCGCTGCTCGAGAGCTTATTTCACTGGACATTGAACAAATCTCTATATCAAAAGAGGAATTGAACAGCTCAGCAAAGTAAAGATAAATTATAATTGTTGGTTCACGGGGTCGTATACGACAAATAGTGGTAGCAATTATCACTCGTCTGTTGGTGATCCTATTGCTTGTTCTTCTTGTTGTTCTATCTTACATTGTAGGCAGGAGTCGGTCGAAGTAGGTAGTGACGGCCTGGGTGGTTGCCCCACCTTTATCCGGCCGTGATGACTAAGCCAGTTGTCCCACTTCGCCCAGGGCAGGTGCCAGCCAGCCCATGGTACCTGCCTATTACTCCTTATCAGCCTTTGCTGTTCCAACAATAATAGACGAAGTGGAATGAAATTGAAGCCCGCATTAACTGTTTTCCCCGTGCTTATCTGCCTTAGATACCCTTTACCCAGTAACCTACTTTACCTAAGGTAGACAAGATGTCATGATAGCCTCTCTGATCCATCTTCCTGCGTCATGTGAACCTGATCCTTTGACCGAAGTTTAGCCGAGCGGCTTTCCGAGAAAACCTCAAAGCAGCCGAGGCACGGGCCTAAATGTTGTTCAAGGTAGTGGGCTGGCGGCTCTTCTTTCTCAAGTAAGTGAACGATCAACTCCTACTCGCCGTCAGCTGCGATATTCTGGGCCATGGTTTCTCTCAATGCGTGCTTGTTTTCAAGGCCAATCGAACCAGTCCATCTCATTGATGGACGCAGCGACATGTTCATCTCTGTACCTTGGAGGACGAGAGGATCCACGAGCCGGCTCAAGCTTGGTGTTCCATATCGAACGGGGTCCCTGCAAACCGCGGGACCTTGTTTTGGGGGCCACCAAGGCGAGATTCTGGGCCGACGTCTCGCTTGGCCTGAGTGAATCGAGTGGACGGTGTGGCGCGAGCCTCGAAGTGGGGTGTTTCCAAGATGCCGATACCCGAGGAGTTGTCTCGGTCAAGCTGTCGACATTGGACAATGTGCCTGGTTGCTGCGGGAATGTCGCACAACAACACTAACTTATCGCCTGCCAATCGCCAACTTGTCGACTAATTTTTTGTACCTTGGTAAGACCTCTGAGACCGCAGTAGTTCGTCCCATGTACATCGATGATTTGGGCCCAGGAGATTTGACAAGAAGACGCGAACTTTGGTAACTTGAACAAATAGTTACATAAGCAATCTCGAAAAATTGGGGTGGCCCGCCAAGAACCGGGAGGACCCAGACAAGCCTTGGCACGTGACGGTCGGCACATCGACGCGTAACCCCTGCGCAGCTGAGGGAAGCTGCCAATCCCTGCGGCGATGCCGATTCAAATTCAAGGTCTCGATGTTCCTGCCCAATGACGTTACTATGCGCGGCGCACGGGTCGGAGCTAAACCGGATTGGCTTTTAAACTTACTTTATGGATTCCAGTTGGGGCCTTTTGGGTTTGGGGGTTTCAACTTTCTGGTGGTGTTTTTGCAAGGTGCAATGATGGTTTGATCCAGGGCAGGCCCGGTAGGAGGCCCTTGGGAAACTAACTGATTTCAGGTTCTATCCGTACCTTGGTGTTCCTGCTTGCGCTACGCCAGTGAACAGTCCGAGCAAAGTGCGCATACCGACAGGCACAAGGTACAGAGAGGGAGATGGGCAGAAAGAGGGGACCAAAAAGAGCGGCCTGCGGTGGCTGCTCCTCCCGTTATTAGTCGATCCAATAGCTCCGTCATTGAAATCATTCCAACCACACCTGAGACTGAGACCCCGTCTATTTCCTGCGGTGCTGTGTTTTGTTTTCTTTCCACCTACCTTACCTCACATCGCCAAGAGCTTGCTTCCCGGACAGCAATCACCACATCGCTCGTCAATCATCCATCCGGACAGACCTTTCACGATCGACATACGAGGTCAACCGCATCGTCGAAGTAATGTCGCAACCTTACGGCGAGTCTGCTGGCTACTACGGTGGCCAGCAGCAACAACAGCAGCCTCCATACGATCCTAAACATACTCAGCAGTACAGCAACGGATACCAGCAAGACTACAACCAGCAACAAAACTACCAGCAGGGCGGGTATCAGCAAGGCTACCCCCCTCCGCCGCCCCCTCAGCAGGGTTTCGACAATGGGGGCAATGGCTACGGATACAATGCGCCGCCCCAGGGCTACGATCCCGAGAAGTACACCTTTGAGGAGGCTTTCAAGATTGAGAAGCCCAAGTGGAATGATCTCTGGGCTGCCATTCTGGTAAGATACATCCTGTCGCGGCGACACATCCAACATCGCGTCAATGGGATGGACTTCAATCGCTAACAATCGTGCGCAGTTCCTCGCCGTTTTCCTTGGCTTCGCTGCCGTATCAGGCCTGACGATATCCGGTTACTCTGCGACCAAGGGCCTCAACGGCGGTGGAATCTACGACGGCGGCAACACCTTCGGCCTGAGTACAAACACCATCGTCCTCTTCGCCTTCGTTCTCGCCGTCGCAATCGTCCTAAGCTATGGCTACGTCTGGATGGCGCGTCTGTTTCCCAAGGCCTTTATCTGGGTCACGGGCATCCTCAACATCGTTTTCGCCCTCGTCACCGCAATCTACATGCTCTCACGCAAGTACTACTCGGGCGGCATCGTCTTCCTCATCTTTGGTGTCTTCCTCGTCTTCGCCTTCATCAGCTGGATCCCTCGCATCCCCTTCTCCGCTCTGATGCTCAAGACCTCCATCCAGGTTTCCAAGAAGTACGGTCACGTCTACCTCGTTTCCTTCCTCGGTGGCATGCTTGGCGCCGCATTTGCAGCTTGGTACTCCGTCACACTTGTGGCGACCTACTCCAAGTACCAGCCGTCGCAAAATAACCCTCAGTGTCGGAACGGCCAGTGTAGTCAGGGCAAGGTCATTGGACTGATCGTCTTCATCACGTTTGCCATGTACTGGATCTCTGAGGTGCTCAAGAACGTCATCCACGTCACCATCTCGGGCGTCTACGGATCGTGGTACTTCTGCGTCAACAACTTCCCCAAGGGAGCGACCCGCGGCGCGCTCAAGCGCTCTCTGACCTACAGCTTTGGCTCGATCAGCTTCGGCAGCTTGATCGTCGCCGTCATCAACCTCCTCCGCCATCTGTGCTCCGTTGCCAGACAGCAGTCAGCCGCTGACGGCAACATTGTTTCGTACGTGCTGTTCTGCATCCTGGGCTGCCTCATTTCCCTGCTCGACTGGGCCGTGACGTTCCTCAACCGATACGCCTTCTCGCACATTGCTCTCTACGGCAAGGCCTATATCCCCGCGGCCAAGGATACCTGGAAGATGATCAAGGATCGCGGCATCGATGCACTTGTCAACGTGAGTACCTCCCCACAGCCACACTGTCAAATAAGTAAACTAACACGTTCCAGGAATGCCTCATCGGCCCCGTGCTCTCCTTCGGCGCCACATTCATCGGCTACGCCTGCGCGTTCCTCGCCTACTTGTACATGGTCTTCACCAACCCCGCCTACAACCAGAGCGGCAACTATACCCCTGTTGTGGTCGCCTTCTCCTTCCTCATCGGCCTGCAGATCGCCAACGTCTTCACGACGCCCATCTCGAGTGGTATCGATACTATTTTCGTCGCTTCTGCGTGGGACCCCCAGGTCCTCATGCGTGATCACCCTCAGTTGTACGATGAGATGGTTCGCGTGTACCCTCAGGTTCAGCAGGCCATCCACGCTTAATGTGGAGCATAATAGGGTGTGGATGTGAGTGGAGAGAGGCTCTGAGAAGATGGTGCGAGAGACTGGATACCCCAAGAGAAGTGCAGTCCGTCCACTTGGACGACAAATTTAGTACTAATGAAATGTCATTTAATCAATACGTCTTCGTGTTGAGATTCTTTGCGCTGTGCGATAGAGTTTTTGTTTGTGACTGATTGGAGCAGAAACCACACTCAAACACCGACGACAACAGTCAGTCAGTCACTCATTCATGTCGGCAATCAACATGCAAAAAAGAAGTCCAACACAACGATCGACAAAAGATAATGTCCCTAGCAAGGCTCGAACTTGCGACCTTTGGATATCTCTAGATGATCTAGAGTCATATGTATTTGATATGAGACCAACGCTCTACCGACTGAGCCATAGAGACAACTGTTCATGTCTGCTTCCGACGGACAGGTGACAAAGAACGCTCGGGGTTGCGGGCACGGTGAAAAGAACTGTTCGGGGGACCCGGATGAGCAAAAGATTTTGACCAGCCTGGGGGTCGAACCCAGAATCTCCTGATTACACGAACTCTCAACCCTCGGGAAGAGGATTGAAGGGAGTCGTAGTCAGACGCCTTGCCATTGGGCCAACCGGCCTCGGAAGAGAAGAGCCAAGTGGAACTACTTAATGGAAAGCGTTTTGAGAGAGGAGTTCATGAAGGAGAGGAGATGGGTTTGCGGGGCTTTTGCCAGAAAGGATTAGCCTTGGGGAGCGAGAAAAATCTGTAGAGTTTTTTTCGGGCTTGGATGCAGATTTTTCACGATGGGGGCCGGCTGGTGTTGCGGTGGAAGGTGGATGCGGGGTGGCCGGGTTGGTGACGAGCGGATCGGAGGCGGGGGCCGGTCTTCTGTGGAAGGGGGGTTTTGGTGGGGGATGCGGGGCCGGGATGGCGTCCGTTTGAGAATGGATATGGTTCTGACAAGGAGCTAGAACGTACGGGAACCGATTGCTTCCAGGCTGGCTTGACCAAGAGACCTAGCATCATTCTAGGATCACAGCGGCGGTCAATAAGCACGACTTTTCACGCAGTTCAGGTAAGCATTTCAATCGAGTCCAAAGGTTCTTTCAATTTGGTCATCACTAATGCAGAGCTTGTAGCGCGTCCATCTCTAAACCAATTTCTTTCTATTTCCTGTCCTTCATCCGTCTCCCCTCTCTCTCGAGCCCTTCCATCTCTCGATTGTCACTCAGTCGTTCTCCCGGCTTCTCCAATTCAAGCGACATACCAAAACTGCCACGTCCGGTCCGTTGGTCATCGCACCAAGAGACGCTGACTTCCCTACCCTCCAGAGGGCATAGTACACCATCCGGTGCGACCTCCACGCGTCACCGACGCGGATTCTAGCAGCTTACCAGTCACTGTTGGCCATCTTGACATCTTCAGATGTCTCTCCCACTTGGGCGTTCTCGTGGAAGCACGGTTGGTGAGGGGCAATTCTCAATTGCTCGATTCTGCGATTGATTGATACTGTTTCTTCTGAATAGCGATTGAAATCCACAATTCCCCCTTCGTCCGATTCAATCGGCGGAGCATCAGTCATGATTACATCTTCGTCCTGCTGTCCATTCGACTCGTCGGCATCGCGCCGCTCGAAATCCACCACATAGTCTACACGAAATTCGTCGCCGACTGCGGTCACCGTCACCCCTTTCCCACTAAATCAGCCACGGCACCCATTCTCTAACGCTTTCACGGCACGAATGCCAAACTTACTATTCCTAGAACTTCCAGCGTCATTGGTTTCAATCTCCGCCCAGACGCCATACTCGCGGTGGACGAGGGACCAACCGCTCTCTCCCACGATCCCCACGGGCTGCGACTTCGCGACCTCGGCCACGAGACTAGCGGCCTTGCGCTGTAGCGCCTCGCTGTTCGAGACTGAGTGAGAAGAATCCATCGTGCCTTACCTGACGCGTCTCTTCCTGCGCGTTTTCTATTCGAACGAAGCTTGTCCCGGACACTGCTTGAACTCCAAGCTCGCGTAAAGTCAAATGAGAAAAGGAAAACCGCTGAGCACAAATGCACCGCTGCCTCGTCCTTCACTGTATGATGAACGTTTGAATGGCTGACAGCAGCGAATATGTGAATACCTTCAGTACCAACTGAAGAGTGTAAACAAAACAAAGCAAAACAAAAAATTGTTTTGAAAGATGAAAGGTTACCTACCTTTCTGACTGCCGTTAGGGGGGCCTTCGTCCCTTTAACTGATCCCATCAGTCTTACTCCGTATCGATCATTGGTTGTTCTCCAACCTTTCCATGTGGGCCCCCCCCACCTGGATAACAACCTGCTGAGGTCAGCAGAGTCCATCACTCTCGGTCGTCCCTCCCTCCATTCTTACCCCAAAAGTGACTAAGCACTTTTCTACCCCACAATCTAGGCCATCGCCCAGAATTGTCTATTAATAGGACGACTAACAACTTAGCTACGCTATTATTACCTGGGCCATGGGCCATCGTCTCTTAATAATAGATTATAGTCCGGCCTAAGGGCCGGGTTAATTAATAATAAGCGGCCTTTAACGACGAGGAATAAAGGGCTTTTAGCCCGTATAGCGAAGCGTAAGTTGTCATCGATCATCGTTATCATATTGTTGTCTATGTTGTGTGTTCTCCTTTCCAGATACAGCCAGGAATATCCCTCATTTAAGGCACCTAGATTCCTGCATTTTCATTAGTTAGTCTTACCCAGATTATTGTAGGTCCAGATTACTCGTTCTAGTCCGAGCATACCTGCCCAATTCCACTTCCGCACTTTAATATACCCCTTTAGATCATAGCTTCTATTTTCTTTACTACTATAATCCAGCTACTTCTATTTAAATAATCCTTTTACCTTCTTAGTTCCCTTTTAATATAGGCTTTTCAGAGAAGTTCAGTGTTACGGCCAGCTAGTTGTTACGGCCAGCTAGTCGTAGGGGTAGTTTGCAGAAGTTGAGGCTGCGGAACTGGTAACAGTAATCGTAGTCGGGGATAGCTTCAGGGAAGCTATGTCTGTCAATCGTAAGATAAGGTAAGGCTTCGGTGATCAATCGTAGTCTTGTCAAGGTAGTAGCTGAAAGCGGATGTTAATCCTGATACGAAGTTAATTGCTGAAGAAGCTATGGGAAGTCTGTCCTAGAGTCCGGCTCAAGTCCATCCTTATATACAAGTCCTGATTCTGAACATGTCCTTTGTGCTGGACAGTGTCCTTGTTTGGATATGTTGGATAGCTCATATCCTGGTTATCCAAGGATAGCTTGGATAACTCATATCCAACATATCCTTATCCTTATCTCTTATCTCTTATCATCACGTGACTTGTCCATAGTTCTTCCGTTCCGTGAGAGGGTGCCTAGTGTTCCTTGTCCTCTGCATACATGGTGCGCTGTAGCCACCGCGAACCTGCGGGGCAGAGCCTGCGGGGCAGACCTTGTTCTTGGTCATGCATGTTGGGTCGTAACACTAGTCGTAGAGGTAGTTTGCAGAAGTTGAGGCTGCGGAACTGGTAACAGTAATCGTAGTCGTGGAATAGTTTCAAGGAAACTATGTCTGTCAATCGTAAGGGTAGGTAAGGCTTCGGTGATCAATCGTAGTCTTGTCAAGGTAGTAGCTGAAAGCGGATGTTAATCCTGATACGAAGTTAATTGCTGAAGAAGCTATGGAAAGTCTGTCCTAGAGCCCAGCTCGAGTCCATCCTTATATACAAGTCCGATCTTAACTGAACAGTGCTGAACAGTCCCCTTTGTCTGGATATGTTGGATATGCCGAATATCCAACATATCCTTGACTCGGTTGGATATGTCGCATATCCAACATATCCTTATCCCTTATCATATCTCTTATCATCACGTGACTTATACCATAGTTCTTCCGTTCCTGGGGTTTCCCCAATGTTCCGTCCCGTCCTGCATATGTTAGATTAGCATAGACCATGTCGGCATAGCGCCCGGCACGTCCTTTTGTTACCAGACGTTAAATACATCATCATCATCATCATCATCCCGTCCTGCATATATGATGCGCCGTAGCCGCTAGGCGTCAGCGGGGCACGCCCTGGTCTCATGTTGGGTCGTAACATTCAGTTGGCGGACGAAGTCTTCGTATTTCTGTCTCAAGAGACTCTTTGTTAGTCTATCCACCATCATCTTAGCTGTTGGTATATATTTAACATTAATGTATCCTTTAGAGATAGACTATCTAAACTAGTAGTAGTATAAATCTACGTAGCGAAGCTTCGTTTATAGCTTAAGTAGCTCTGTCTTTACTAGTCTAATAGTCTAGGTATTGTCGTATTAGATTAATATTTTTAATAATTTTCCTCCTAGTGCTTTGATTAATTTACTAGCGAAGATTGCTTTCTTTCCTGCTCATAATAGAGCTAGTAACTTAGCTTTAGCTATAGAGGTTATAATAGTTATTTACTTGTTAGCCCTCTAGCCTATCATTCCTCTAGATAGCTTTATTATAAATACTTATAATAACTTACATGTTACGAGCTGGACAAGGCAACCAACTGTGGCACAAAGCAAAAGCTTCGATAATGATGACTCCGGCATCATTGTCCCTTGTTCTGCATTATATAGCTACGCGCCCACAGTGACAAGTTGCGGCGGGCGTAACATTACAGTCTATTAAGTTATCTATAAAGCTAGTATTTAAAGCGACCTTAAAGTTATCTATCTTCCTACTAAACTCTAATCTAAGGCCTGCGGTTTATTAAATATATTATAGAACTTTATTAGTAGCCTAGTAATACTTCTAGCTTGGGTTCTAGTTAAATCTGGCTAGTTTGTTTATTGCAAAAGCAAATACTGGTCTCGTTATAATAGTAACATATAGTAGTAATCCCACTTTGCGCTAGTAGGTTGTAATTAACTTGACCTTTGCCTAGTTACTATTTGCTACTAACTCCTTTTATAATATAAGGGTATATGTGTCACAGACCCGCTGTCCTAGACCCCAACCTTGAGGTTGGTGTTGAGTAATCCGGTGGCCGGGTTACGTAAGCCTGAGGCTGGATAAAACTCTGCATCCTGTATTCTGTCGCGCATGTCCAGAAACGTAGCTCCTTGACCTACGTCTTGTCAACAGAGCCTGTACCTGCTTAGAATAGAGCCTGCCCGTAGCAATAGATTGTCTGATCCGCCTGCCCAGCATCCACCTGCCAAACAACCTGCCTGCTACCGTGACACGTAGGTAGACTTAGTAAAATATAAAGGGAAGGCCCGAGATACTGTTGGCGGCTTTATAAATTTAAATCGATAACTACATTAATAATTAAAATCGTCGCCGATATTAGGCCTAGAATCTCCGGACCTGACATCTTCGTGTTAAGGCCGAGGTGGTTGTTAGAGGAAGTTTCTTCCCTTTGACCTTAGGAAATATCTCTGGAACTTAAGTTACTAAGGCCTGTACCTTTGAGGCGTAGTCTTGGGGCTGTGAGAAGATGACTGCGTGCATACCTACCTGGGTATCTTGTTAGACGAGATGATGGGATTAAGCAGGTTCCGTGGGTCAGATAGGCTTCATGGTAGGTCAGGCCTCGGACCACTTTCCCATTGCGAACGGAAGGTCAGCATGATGCAAGCCGCCTGATGTGGGCAGTCCAAAAGCTGAAATCAAATATGGCTCTGGAACACGGCCAACTCAGAGCCTGCCTCTTTATTGAATGCGAGGTCAGCAGCCACGGGAAGAACGAGGCGGAAAGCCCCGATTCCTTTGAGAATACTCTTACAATCAACTCGCGCCAGTTAAACCAGGCTTATGGGGTGGGCTCCGGTTGTCGGAAAGACAGGCAGTTGGCTTTGCTAAGACGCCCTGTGCTATATGCATAATAAGTATAAAGCAACGATGTCTTTAGTGAAAGATATCGCTCCCATTGGAATATAAACATCAAGACCCTGAAAATCATTTTATTTCCAATTTAAATCTCCATCTATATCCGCTATAAGTGATACGGCCGAGTGCAACATGGCTGCGATCGAAGCTACCAAAGAAGAAGCAATCGACAGGATTGGCGATGCCTTCCCTCGCTTCCAAAGAATATCGCGAATCGAGAGCACTCTGAAAGACACCGAAGACCTACCCAAGGCTTTCCCAGTAGTCGCAAAGAAACTCCCCCTCCTGCCCAAGATCTTCACCTCCATTAACTCCCACCGGCAGGGGATCGAAGACACAACGGAAACAGCCAAAGACCTAGAGGCCTTCCACAAAATTAAACAATCCACAGATGTGGGCAGTACACACTGCTCATCTGGAACAACGAGGCAAGCAATGAGGCAATACGACTGGTATTGTGGGTTGGTTGGTGATGTTGTGGTGAAGGTGGCTGCGGTGGGCTGGATCAACCAGGAAGTGGATCGGGCAGCTGGTGCCTGGGGCACCAGCCACTGCCTCAGGTATCCACAGTCCCACAACAGAAACATGCGAGTCTCGCAAAGACCATCGAGTCTATGTTCAAGGCAGTTAATAAAGAAAGCGGCACCGCGCAAAAGACGGCTCGCTACGTGGCCCTGGTGGAGCAAAATGACGGACAGGGTCTGGAGAAGCTGATGGAAGACATGTTGAACCAGATGATTGATGTCGCGAAACCAACGTTTGTGGCCGAAGAGCTTGTGATCGAGTTGAATGAGGCGCTGGCTGAGGTAAAGAAGCTCCCGAGATCGTTGGCGAAGAAGCAGGGGGGGGGGTCGATTGTGCTGAACAATTATGGTGATGGAGTTCAGTTCCAGCATAGCGGAACGGGGTCTCAGAATCACAGCACTGGAGGTTTGATGGTCACCGGCCAGAACTCATGGCGCAACATACAATCATGGGAAAGTCTGAGGGCTTGGCGAGACGAGGGATCAGAAGAGCACGCGTGCGACATAAGGATGAGGAGGTAAGTTGCCGGAGCCGTGATGGTCATTGTGCCTACGGTACGGATAAGATACTTCGCTTCATACAAGACCGAAGGAGATAAATGCTCAGCTAGATAATAACCAAAAACAGACTTTGCCGCCGTCCAAACCGTGGAAACCGTATCCCTTGCCTATCTGGAGGCTACCGTCTTTACCCTGCCATGAACGCCAATGAAACCATATCCCGCGGAAACCCTTCCACTCAAACAATCTAAATCAACACAGGAGCCAATCTGAAAGACTGCAACGCTCCTACCGCTGCTGGCTCCGCTCCAGTCGATCCCGGGCCGCGTCCACGACGCTCCGGTCCAGTGCCGGGGTGCTTCTCTGCCCGCCTGACACGTTATCCTCGGCGGTGCCGTCGTCAACCGCGACGAGTTCCCACCTCTTCATCCCGCCATCCATGCCCGGCCACAGATCCGTTGGGATGAATTCGCCAATGTCCTGGCGAAATCCTTCGCGCTCCCGCCGATCGTTCTCGACGAGCTTATCAACGCTGTCCATCGCCTTCTTCCAAATGTTTGTAATCTTGTCCTCCACCATGCGGCGCCGCTCAACCTCAAGGATCAAGTTGTCATACGCGCCCGCGTACTTTTCATAAAAGTCTCTGAGGTCGTCCATCTCGCCGAGCTTGGTGTAGATAGTGTACCTCTCATCCTCCCATCGCTGGAGAAACTCGGCCTCGCTCGCAATGTAACTGGCCATGCGACCGCCCATCTCTTCCAGCGCGGCGAACCCTTGCAAGGTGTCGAGGAACGCCACCTTGATCTGTCCTGTCTGTCCAGTCATCGCCGAAAAGTCCTCTTCCATGGCCTGCAGCCTCTCGCTGATCTCCTGGATGACGCCCTCGACCTCTGATGCATCACTGACCACAATGTCTAGCATGTCCGCCCGATCTTGCGTCGTTATCGGTTCGAGGTCGGGCATGTGCGACTCCTGATCGGCGATGACGCCGGATAACGAGACGCCATCGCCGCCTTGTGACTGCGTCACCTCTGCCGCCCTACGACGAGCAAGAGCCGCGCCGCCCTCCGTCGTCCGCACTGCTGTGACGCAGAGGTCAAAGTGCTTTGTCAAGGACGTCAAGAGCTGGGCCATGGAGTGTGAGTTGTCTACGAGAGAACCGAGCAGCTCGGGTATCGGATCGTATTGCGACGAGTCGGAGGGCGTTCGGGGTAGGGGTGTTGCCGTCATCGTTTTCTTGAGCGCTCGCAGGTCGTCGTCGAAGCGAAGCAGATCGCCGTCAAAGGATGTCTGGATGGCCTGTAGAAAGATGGTCTTGTCAGTCGCCTAGGCTATTGTGGATGGCGTGGGAGGGTCAGAGTAATTAAAATTCGTGCGCACCTGGAGCTCGCCGAGGCTCTGCTTCAGAGCCTCGACCATGACGTGGACGCTCTTTTCGTCCACGAAATCCATCAGATTGCGGCGCTCTTCGCCTGGCGGCCGGAACACAGCTTCCACAGTTGTGTTCTTGAGCATGGCCATGGTCTCCTGAAGCTTCTCGTTGGTTGCATCCATGGTCTTGACCAGGTGCTTGAAGTCGCGCTTGCCAGCATCGTAGGTTCTCTTGAGACCACGACGGACCTTCATCAAGAGCGCCAGCTGCTCGGAGATGGCTCGTCGCAGGAACTGGGTCTCGGCATGTAATACAACAGCCTCCTCATGGGCCTGGCGTGCATCGGTCGCGATTTCGTTTGCTCGCAAGACGGCCGTCATTGACGAGAGCGAGCGTTTGGCGGCGAGCAAGAGTTCCACCAATGTCTCAACCGGCACATGGTCGGCAGCGGCGGAGGCTGATGTGGAGGGTGCATCACGGCGGTCTCTGGAATGTGAAAGGGACGTGGAGTCTCGGCCGGCAGAGGTGGACGAGGCTGGGCTCCGGCTAGACCTGTGCGACGGGGAATTGGCCATGTTGAATGGGGGGAGAAAGAGAGGAAGTGCTTCACGACAAAAGGTCAAGAGTTGGAGCGATTCATATTTAAGTGGAAAGGAATAGGATTAAGACGATGATGGGAAGAGAACAGCCAAGATGCGAAGCGAAGGTAAGGAAGGGCAGGATGAAGATGTAAAAAGGAACAAGGTACGGATAGAGAGAGGACAGGAAGACGGTTGGGATGGGACGGGACGGGATAGGACAGGACAGGATGGGATGGTGTAGGCGACGGGGATGATGTCGCGATAAGGTTGGAGCTTCGGCCAGGTGTGTTATCCTTATCGGACTGGCTTATCTCACCAACCTCATCGGGGCGCCTGCGCCTGCACTGTGAGCCTGTGAGGACCTCTGTGGCTGCTCCTGCACCTGTACGGGTACTTCGTACTGCTGTTGGCCGGTCGCGGTGCAGCCTTATGTCACACAGGCCATCAGAGTGGAGACCTCCCCCTGGAACCACAGTCTCTTGACAGTTGTGATTGGCTGTGACTCACCGTAGTGGATCTGTCTGCCTGGGGAGCTCCCAGTAGCTCCTTCTCCAGCGGTCTTCAGCGCCAATCCAAGCAGGAGCGATCCAGATGATCTCACACCTGCCCGGGCACTTCCATTGATCATCGCTGCGTCCGGAAGACATCTGGGACATGGAACATCCACTGCTCACCTTCGAATGTCACCAATGACCTTGGAACCATGGAAGCCAACGTCACAGTGGTTCATCCTCCCACCACAGCTCAATGTTCTAGAACAGCTAGAAGAGGGGCTGGACCATGCCGGAGCTGTCGACTGAAACAGCCTTTTCCACCAACATCCGATGAAACCGGACGCTCTCTGACACTTGTATCAATTCCAGTCCAACGTAAAGCCAGTAACGACGACGACCGAAGCTGACGTTGATAGTTCCGAGCTCTACGGGAAGCTGGAATCTCCGTCATACCGATCCTTTCCTTGACTCTGGCAGCTGTGGACAACGATCCAATGGCTTGCTTTAATCTTCGGAAGCTACCCGGCGTTGCTCCATGGCGCATCAATCGTGTTTGAGCTCAGCTGTCCTTTGTGCACAAAGTTTCAAACCTAATGCGGCTTTGGATTGCCGTCACTTTGAATTCCTGTCGTCCGAAGCAGCAAAGCAGAAGCGCTATCAAGACTCCTCGACGCAATTGACTCTCTTTTTGACCACTGGCAGTTGACATGATGCTCGCCTCATCGTCGACACGATGAACACCAGGCTCAGCCATGAGGCCAGCGTACTATCCAGCCACATGTGGCTCGTCCTCAACATCTCCGGACCGCGGCATCGTCGGCCCGCAGGTTTGAGACAGGCACATCCTAGCGATGACTCGCCTTCGATGAGCCGTGGCCGGGCAACAAATCTGCCACGAAACACGTGTATTGTTGTACCACAGCAAGGATAACTTCACGCGATACTGATCTTTTCGCTGCGCAGTCAGCTATCGGACATTCAATGTTCTCCATGGCCCCGAAACCACCGGCCCCGTCCCTTTCGCACCTCATCTCGTCTTACCCGATCTTGTCCATACTCGCGGAATATGTTTCAGCCCTGGACCTCCTTCACCTAGCTCAGACGAACCATAACCACCACGTGCACATCCTCGGCTCCCGTACCATATTTGAAAAGCTGAGAAGCCTCTGTCTCTGCGATGGCCGCGGCTTGATACAACGCCAAACATTCAGCGGACGCTACTGTCCAAACTACTGGACTCTCTTCTGCGGCCTCTCTCCCATGGTCGTCGGGGACGAGGAAATCGAAGTCAAGCTGTACAACGTCAAATGCGACGAAGCTGGAGCTCTACCCTGCCGGAGATGCGGAATCAACATTTGTGAAGAGTGCAGATACTACGATCGGCTTCTGTCCGTGGAGGAAAGCTATGTCGAGCCGCGCTACAACTGGCGCCCTCTCAACATCATGTGTCTTTGCCGCGATTGCGACTCCGAGCTTGAAGGCGATATTCAGGGCAAACAGCTCAGCGACACATGCGATTGTAACCTATGCCTGAGATGGCTTTGTACCAAGTGTGAAGACGACCAGAGAGAAGAGACCACGGCGTATCACGACACGCGAACGAAAGAAGCGTCGGGCCAAAATAACGTGCTTAACGCCCATGAAGAATGGGGTCCAGACGAAACCTCCGAAACCAAACAAATTGAAATCTATGGCAAATGGCGTAGTGTGCGTTTCTGCCACGTCAAAGATCTGGAGGCTTACTTGACAACTGCTAATCATTCTTCTACCAGTTCTATTGCCCTTGTGGTGCCAGCGTTGCTCAAGAGACCGTCCCCCGATGCACATGGTGCAAGCATCGAGTTAAAGGCCAGGACGAATGGTTGAACGAAAGAAACCAGCTTGCCCGACTTGATAAGCCGGGAGGTTCTTTCTATGTATGCTCAAGTCCGAAATTTGAGGCTTGAAAATACCTGCTTATGATTTCTATAGAACCCAGATTACCCGCCCTTCGTCATGGATGCAAGCTACAACTATCCCACTCCTTATCCCAGGCTGGGGTACCATCGGCCCGGAGACACAATCCCGTGACGACTCTCATCTCTCAACCGAGGCTCTTCTACGGCTAGAGCTCACTGCTCGAGATAATCATGCCTGACGCCCTATTGTGGCTGCGACCTTGTCATTGTTGGCCAACAATGGCAGAGTCTCGAGAGACATGACCGGGGAGTCATCGCTTCAGACAACACGCCATTTGGGCAAGCCATCAGGGAATCACACCTCTGCTCCATCTGCAAATGGCCAGGACCAATCGCACAGGCTCGCTTATACGTCTTTCTCGCAACTCGTCGTGAGTCGGACGTGTTTGCAACCGGTGATTCTCCGATGGGTGCCACCGCGCGGCGTTCATCGACGATGATGGGCGAGCATTGGGTGAATCAGGACTTACAAACCGACCTCGGACAAGACTTGGACAAGCTCATTGCCGAAGAATTTCCCGTCCCGGGACTCGAACCAACCCAGAAGTGGAATTCGACCAGTCCCAATCTTACGACGTTCCCCGCATTCGCCCACATGCCGGCATCGCATCGCGCTGGAGATGCGGAGGTGGCATGGGAATACTCTCCGGTATTGCAACCCTATGATACCTGCCATCCAAAACAACCCTGGTCTTCCGATCTCTCCATTCTCCATTCCCCACGATTTCCCCGCGCGCAGAAGAAAATACCGCCGAAGAGCCTCCAGGCTGCATGGGATATCTCCAGACGAAATACTCGCAGCCTGGCTTTGCATCCTTAGCTGGTTGGACCTGCGATGGGACTACCAAAACTAGGCAAACTAGCCACCAACGGCCATCCACACCCTTCTCCCCCGCACCGTTGAAAGATGGCACCAACGACGTGGACCGACATGGGGGTTCTCCCGACTTGGGGCGACATGGGGTTTCCCCACAGACTACTACCGTAAAAAGCTTGCCCAAGCGGCCGGCGTCGCATCGTTGATGAGATCATCATTGGGCCTTTTTGCTGCTGGAAGACGGATTCCGAGTGGAGGTGGATCTGGCTGCGGTGAAAGGTTGGATGTGATCATGGGAACACCGTCGACTAGGGAGAAGGGCCGACGGCGTGCACACTACTGCGCAGCGGTGCCGGGGACTAGATGTCGGCCGTCGACGTATCTCAGTCCGAGGAGACTGGAGAGATGACGCGAGAAGGGGACGACGGGAGGGAAAAGGTTCTTAAGTGGCTGGACATCCTGCGGACCGTGATGACGGAGAAGAGAGTCTGCAAGCTCAAGTCGTGCTCCTCAATTGGGTTTTCAACATGGTCAACAACTTGATTCCAACGTTGGCAGTGGCCTTTGCCGGCCTCACGCTCTGCGCAGCTCAAGATAGCTATACCAATGAGACAGATCCTTACTATGGACAGAGTCCAGCCGTCTACCCCACGCGTCAGTACCTACCTCTCTCTTGACGTGACTCATACCAGGACAAGATCCTAACCGAGATTCCTGTAGCTGTGGGAAACGGAACGACAAACGAGAAATGGGCCACAGCATACCAGCGCGCCAAGTCCCTGGCCGCCCAAATGACCGTCGAGGAGCTCGCAAACTTCACCCACGGCTGGGATGGTCTCTGCACCGGCAACACGGGCTCCGTGCCCCGCCTTGGCATCGAGCCTATCTGCCTTCAAGACGGCCCGGACGGCGTTCGCGCTCAAGAGTTCGTCTCGGCTTTTCCCTCTGGCATCCACCTCGGCGCCACGTGGGACCGGAACCTCTCGTATGCCTACGGCGAGGCCCTGGGCGCCGAGTTCCGCGGTAAGGGCATCAATGTCGGTCTGGGACCCGTAGGTGGACCGCTGGGTCGTATCGCGCGTGGCGGCCGGAACTGGGAGGGTCTGAGTAATGATCCGTACCTGTCATCTGTTGGCGTCGGTGATATCACCAAGGGGATGCAGGATGCTGGTACGATTGCGTGCCCGAAGCATTGGATCCTCAATGAGCAAGAGTACCGAAGGAACCCTAGCATTGAGGATGGCGAGGCCGGGTCGTCGAATGTTGATGACAGGACACTGCACGAGCTCTATGTTTTCCCTTTCATGGATGCGTTGAAGGAGGGCGCTGCGTCAGTCATGTGTTCGTACAACCGCGCCAACAACTCGTACGGCTGCCAGAACTCGTACCTACTTAATGGAGTCCTCAAGACCGAACTCGGGTTTGAAGGTTTCGTTGTCAGCGATTGTAAGTTTCTCTTCCCTTCTATACCCAGGCCTCCGTCAACTTTGCTTACAATTACTTCAGGGGGCGCACAACACGCCGGCGTGGCAACAGCCAACGCTGGCCTCGATCTCATAATGCCAAACGAAGCCTTCTGGGGTGCATCCCTCGTCGAGGCAGTCAATAACGGCAGCGTTACTCGCGAGCGCGTCGAGGACATGACTACGAGGATCCTCGCGGCCTGGTACTACATCGGCCAGGACGGCGACGACTACCCCGCCGTCGGCGCTTACTCGAACCTCCAGAAACACGCACCAGTAGACGTACAGAACGGGCACAAGGCAATCATCCGCGAGATTGGCGCTGCCGGTACTGTGCTGGTGAAGAACGTCAATAGCACGCTTCCATTCAAGAGTCCCAAGTTCTTGACGATCTACGGGTACGATGCTAGCTTGCCGCCTACGCCATGGGGAAGCACGAGTTATGGCCCGTCGTGGGGCACCGTTTTGGCGGATACGTTCAACGGGACGCTGCTTTCTGGTGGTGGCTCCGGAACGACGACGCCTCCTTATGTTATTACTCCTTTCCAGGCTATCCAGGATCGCGTTATCGCCGACGGCGGAGTGGTCAAGTGGGACTTTTACTCTGAGAACCCGCAGCCTAACTACGTCAACTCGGAGGCGTGCCTCGTCTTCATCAACGCGTGGGCTTCGGAGGGATATGACCGCCTGAGCCTGACGGACGAGTTCAGCGATAACCTGGTCAACAACGTCGCTGCCAACTGCTCCAACACGGTTGTCGTGCTTCACTCTGCCGGTAAGTCTATCGAAGTCTCCATGATGTCGCACTCACTAACACAACCGATGTAGGAACCCGTGTTGTCGAAGCCTGGGCAGACCACCCCAACGTAACAGCAATCCTCTTCGCCGGCCTCCCCGGCCAGGAATCAGGCAACTCCCTCGTCGATATCCTCTACGGCGACGTCAACCCCAGCGGCAGGCTCCCCTACACTGTCGCCCGCGCCGAGTCAGACTACGGCACCCTCCTCAACTCGACCGTCGAAGCGGGTCCCTTCCCGCAGGACGATTTCACGGAGGGCTTGTTCATCGATTACCGCGCCTTCGATCGCGATGGTGTCTCGCCCCGGTATGAATTCGGGTTCGGGCTTTCGTATACTACCTTTGGCTACTCCTCCCTCTCGGCGAGTCCCGCGTCGGGCGTGAGCGCGGGTATCCCCGATCCGAGTGTTGCCATCGTGCAGGGCGGACACCCCGCCCTCTGGGAGGAGGTTGTCTCCGTCAGCGTGACGGTGCAGAACACGGGCGGTGCGGCTGGCCACGAGGTCGCCCAGCTGTATGTCGGTATTCCCGTCGATGGCACGCCTGCGAAGCAATTGAGAGGATTCGAGAGGGTATATGTTGAGGCGGGCGGGAGCGCGACGGTGGAGTTTGCACTGACGAGAAGAGATTTGAGCTTTTGGGATGTGAGCGCGCAGCAGTGGCGGTTGAGCGAGGGTGAGTATGGGGTTTGGGTTGGAGCGAGTAGTCGGGATTTGAGGGTGAATGGGACGTTTACTATCTAGGGGAAGGATTAATGTGTTGCTGGGTGGTTGCTGGTTGCTTCAACGGAATCAGAGTACATAGTGAGGCCATACAAGATAGTTGTAATGATGATGATGATGATCAGCATGAATGCGTGTTTCGATTGAGCACCAGCGCTATCAAGTTCAAAATGTCCATCATGAAAAACGTTCTCCAGAAGCAAGAAATGTCCAAAGTGACATAACAGACCTTTTGTAGAAATCGTCCAACAAGAAAAAAAGACGAGAAATTAGACTTTGTGCGTGCCATCCATCATCCATGAACATTCGAGGTGCCATCCTCAAGTCGCAGCATCGCAAGCCTTCCTCGAAAAGCGTCACCCGAACTCTACATCAGCCCAGCCTACCATACAATTTCACAGCTTTCCACGCGACAAAAAAAAAAGAAGAAAAAAAAAGAGAAATGCACAGAACGACCTCTGCTGCATTGGAAAAGTAAAAGTGTGATTACAAATTATGGAAAACACAAAAGGATAACCAGCGTTATGCATCCGCCGGTAATCGAAACCGGGTCCCTTGCTGATCCGAGGAATGGAAGGCAAGGATGATAACCACTACACTACAGATGCTGGTTGATGCAAGTTTAACGAGTCTAGGTCGTACTTGTAGGGTCAGGCTGCTAGTGCCAGCCCCGTTGGAGCTGGGGCTTCGAAGCGGGAACCGCGGAGGCCCGAGTGGCCAATGGGCGCGCTCAATCGAGCTCCCGTCCTGTCTCCTGCCTTCCTGTCACCAACGAGCTTCTCGGAGGAATTGTTCCTAAGAAAACCTGGCCAAGGAACATCAGCGCCTCAGCGCCGGTCGAAAAACGCATCGAAATCATTGTTTCCTCCTCAGTCGACAGTACACCAGCGGCGAAGAAAGATGCACTTGTGCTGCGCGGCTTAGGCTTCGGCGTATTAAGCTTATTCACGGCACCGCCCCACGAATCCTCCCCTCTACCTTACCTCTAACTTGATTCGGCAACCATGTCGTCTCGAAGAAGCGCAGACTGGTGGTGATGTTGAGGAGTGCGAGGACCTCGCAACATATTGCATCAAGTTCGATTGCCACGACCACCTCAAGTGCATTCTAATTGCCCGACGAGAATCCAGTCTGTGTTGTCGGTTGACTGGCAACGGTGAAAGGATCCGAGGCTGGAAAGTCAGTGCGAGGTCGTGACAACGTGGTTGGGACTGGGAGCTGGTCGATCTTGTCCGACCTCTACGGAGTACCACGTCGACGAGCAAGGACTGTCGATCTTTTGACGAGCGATTCAGTGCTGCATTCGCACGTGGACAGCAAGATGGGTATCGATCCCGCTCTGGCGAATGCTCCTATCTTTGTTGTCTCTTCTAGCCCATGGGGTCTCGGAAGTATCCATGGTGGACACAGATAGGTTTGAAAGGGAGCAACAGCTAGGAAGAAGCAGAGTTCAGGGAGCAGGGAAGACACGCCAATCGCTGGAACGAGACTGGCTTTATCCATTAATTGGGGATTGCGACGACCACATCTTCAAACTTTCACATTGAGCATGCTTCTCTCCTTGAAAAGCAGACGCTTTGATAGAATCGCCAATGGGCATTGACACCAGATGCGATAGAAAGGGGCCGGTTGAGATACTCTCGACAATAGTCGCTGCTCGACAACAGATCCGGAATGACAAGCTCGAGCCGCTAAGCCTCCCGCCGGCTGAAGAGCTTCTGCGCCAACTCCGTCATATTGACTCTTCGGTAGTCGCCCTGTCAGTCCTAGAACGTACCTCGGCAGCTTCCATCACTCCGCGCGTAACTCATCACACTGCAGTCTCAGTCTTGCATGAGATCCCGAACAATCCGTCCAGACGGAGGAACACACTCACGGCCAAGATCAACCAACGCCGTATGGCAGACTGGAGAATACACACTGCAGCGAACTCAGTGCGGGCAAGACCCGCCAATTCAAGATTCAGCGTTGCATTGCAGTGCTCGCAGCGGAGGATGAGGCAAGCACTAAGACCAGACTAGCGAACCACCATCACTGAAAGAGGTATGTTAATAGTCTTGGCAGATTGCTAGAGTACTGGAATATGCGACAATGATCGTCTTCGCAGCCACCTTCGAGAAGTGAAGCCCGTTCCGCATGTCTTAGTCGTCTTCGGAGGCTCGATGGTCGTTGAGGTGTTGGCGTCTACGGCATGGGATACCCTGTCCGGCGAAGGGACATCCCGCGCAGTCTAGTGAACTGTAATTCGCCCCCAGTCCAAGGGGAAAAGACGACAACCTCGAACCGTTCTCAACGGTCTGAGAGCATTCGGACGGCAGGGATCCGAAAGTTGAGATGAGGACTGTGCAAGGAATGGCCCGATTGAGGGGCTGCTATTTCTGCATCAGATGATCTGTGTTTCTGGACACGAGCGCAGCCCCGAAGTAACACAACATCCACGAGTTCTCGATCCGATATCCTTCTTCCAGATCTACCCAGCTTTGAAGTTTTGCCCTTCAGCCTCCTTCTCTCATTGGTTCTTTCGCCTCAGGAGAGAAGAACTACAATATCCTTCCACCCTTCGTGCCTGGTCCGATAGTTGGGGTTCTCGTATCCCTTGACAAACCTTCACCGCTCCTCGAAGCCCCTTGATATGGTATGGAATTCGCAAATATCTACAATTTCGTCACTGTTCTTTGTCTCTTTTAAAGACAACTCAAAAGCTTGACTAGATCAAGCACGAAAGGGAGGCTCCAGCAATGTCTTGGCGGGCCGAGCCAGCGACCCCGCGCCGAGAAGGCCCGGAACAGTGTCCGGGCTATCGACTAATTCTAAGCGCAGAGGCGCGGACATGGATCAGAGTGGCATTCTTCGTCATGCCGAGTCCCTGGAGATGAACTGCACACCAGCTGCCACCCGAAAGAGATCATCGCCATGTGCGCTTATTTGTTTTCCGTCGATCATGGCTTATAAGAGCTGGCGATCCCTCGTGGGCTGGGTATCCTGGGTTTCCAGATCTACAAGCAATTACAGATACCTCGGCGTCGACGAACCTCTCAAGGTGTGTATTACCCCCGACTTCTTAAGGCCTTTCAGATTTCCCATGTTTAACTCGACACTCAACTCAAGTCAGGATACATCTCATACCAGACATCGCCATGAGGTTAACAAATCTCTTCGGTCTCCTGGCCGCTTCAACAAGTCTAGTCGCGGCTGCCGACCTGACTGGATATGAGTTCATCGTCGTCGGCTCCGGCGCCGGCGGCGGAGTCTTGGCCGCCCGTCTCGCTCTCGCCGGCCGCAAAACACTCCTCATCGAGGCTGGCGACGACCAGGGAGCCAACGAGAACTACACCGTCCCGGCATACCAAGCAAAGTCTACCGAAGACGACGCCATGGCATGGGACTTCTTCGTCCGCCACTACGCCGACGAGGCAAGACAAGCCCGCGACTACAAGACCACATACGAGACACCTGGCGGCGGCGAGTACACCGGACTCAACCCGCCGTCCGGCTCCAAGATGAAGGGTACGCTGTATCCTCGCTCCGGCACCCTCGGAGGCTGCACCGCCCACAATGCACTCATCGCCGTCTACCCTCACCGCTCCGATTTCGACTACATCGCCAGCCTCACCGGCGACTCGTCCTGGTCTGCAGACAACATGCGAAACTACTTCATCCGCATGGAAAATAACCGTTACCTCCTTCCCGGCGTCCCGGGCCACGGCTACAATGGCTGGTACAGCACCGAGACAGCCCCTCTCAACCTCGCCCTTCTCGACCCTCAACTCTTGAGCCTTGTCACAGGAGGCGCATTCGCCCTCGGAAACGAGACAAACCTAGTGTTCAATATCGCCACCCTCCTCGCCGGCGATGGCAACAACGTAGCTGCCAGTCGCGACACGACGCCAGGCTTCTACCAGATCCCCATCTCCTCCAATGATGCCCACCGCGTCGGCTCTCGCGAGTTCATCGTTGCCGTCCGCGACGCAAAGACCATCACCGGCGCGAAGCGGTACCCCCTCGACGTCCGCACCAGCTGCCACGTTACCAAAGTCCTCTTCGACAACTCCTCCCCGCCCAAAGCGACGGGCGTAGAATTCCTCGACGGAAAGTACCTCTACCGCGCAAGCCCCCGCTCCCGTAACGCCGGCGCCGGCACCCGCGGCACAGCCACCGCCTCCCGCGAGGTCATCATCGCCGGCGGCGCCTACAACTCCCCGCAGATCCTCAAGCTCAGCGGAATCGGCCCGGCTGCCGAGCTGCGCAAGTTCAACATCCCCGTCGTCAAGGATCTCCCCGGTGTCGGTACGAATCTACAAGACCACTACGAAATCACAGTCCAGGGCCGCACGCCCGCCGACTTCAGCGCGCTCAACGGCTGCACTTTCGGTTTCAACGGGCAGTCCGACCCGTGCCTCGCGCGCTGGAACACACCTATCCTAGGCGACCGCGGCATCTACGAGTCTTCCGGCTTCGCGGCGACAATGTTCTACAAGAGCACCGTCTCCGAGCGCAACGAGTGGGACGTTTTCGCGTTCGGCGGACCCGTCAACTTCAGAGGCTACTTCCCCGGCTACGGCGTCAACGCGACCATCGAGCACGACTGGTTCAGCTGGGCGATTCTCAAGTCGCACCCGCGCAACACGGCCGGCTCGGTGACGCTGCGCACGTCTGACCCGCTCGACGTGCCGGATATCCTTTACAACTACTTCGATACCGGCTTTGGTAACTTTGATGCCGATTTGCAGGCCATGACGGAGACTGTAAAGCTTACCCGTGACGCTTTCAAGCGCCAGTTGGTTCCCATCAGGGAGGAGTTGCCTGGTGCGGGCGTCCAGGGCGACGCGGCTGTGAAGCAGTATATCAAGGATACGGCGTGGGGTCACCACGCTTCGTCGACGTGCCCTATCGGCGCTGATAACGATCCGATGGCTGTGTTGGATTCGAGCTTTAGGGTGCGTGGTGTGGCTGGGTTGAGAGTTGTTGATGCGTCGGTGTATCCGAGGATTCCTGGCACGTTTACTGCCGTGTCTACGTAC